GAGAAGTAAAATGCAGTTTTCCACTGTTCTCATCTGTGGCAAAATGATTTTCTTTCAGATGAGTTTTTTTCTTAAGATATTTGTTTTGCCATACTGTAAAATGTTATTGAGCTATATACCATTCTACCTACTGTATGTTCATTATTTGTTGTGTTTAACTTGATGCGATTTAAAATTCTGTAACAACTTCTAAAGATGGGGCAAATGAAAAATAGCTCATTGTGTACACAGACAACTTTGTTTAATTTCCTATAGCTCACTATAGTAGAACAGAGTTAAACTGTGAAATAAGCGTATAGCATTTATTTCAGAGGAATTGCCGTCACTTTTATGCACCGTTTCCCATTTGCAGGTGCTCCAATGTAACTGGACAATTAAATCTTAGGCTGCGTCATGGTGCTTTACCAGTTTAGTAGATTAATGTCAGCAGGTGATTCCCATCATGGCATGAAAGCTGCTAAAACTGTGAACCCCAACATACTAAACAGTCAAAGGAGATTCCAGTGCAAGTTAAGCAAACAGTCCATCCAAAAACAAATGAACCAGAAAGACCGCACAAATAGTATGAATCAAATCAACATTTACATCCTGACGAAATACATAAGTACAACTTTCCTAGCATTAAAAAAAGAAGCAAAAATGATGGAGCATCATTTCAGGACAAAGCAAAACTTCTTTAGGCCACACAGCCAAGTAAAGAACTTTCTGCAGGAGGCAGCCATGAATGAACTGATTCTTCATGTTTTGGAGAAATGAGACTAAAATTAGACTCGTAATCCGAATCACACAACATCCTTTTGTAAACCACAGAGCAGTCAGCATGATGTTTTGCATGCTTGGCTTCCACTGATGCTGGATCACTAGTGTTTATGGGTGATCACGGAAGACAGATGCATCTGGATGAAATCTGAAGTGCATAGAGCTAAACTTTCTTCCCAGATTCAGCCAACTGCAGCAAAGCTGACTGGACAGTGTTTTTAAATAGCACAGAAGAACAATGACCTAAAACACACTGTTAAAAAGACTTCAGAAACGTTTAAAGGCAAAGACATAAAATACTCAACAATGGCTGAGTCGATCATCTGAGCAACTCAAAACAATCGAGCTGAATTTTACCTGCCAAAGACAGAAGTGAAGGCACAAAGACCCCAGATTGAGGAACAACTGAAAGCAGCAATAAAAGGCCTAAAAAGGAGGAACCCACTGTTTAGTGTACCCGACTTTAAATTTCAGAGAAATATTGACTGCAAGTAAAGCCAGTCTGTTTGAATGAAAATGAAAATAATCTCTGGATGTCTTTTCACTTGTTGATCAGACTATGCGATACTGTAGCAGGACAGTGTGTAATCACCTGGTGGCATCAGATGCAGTAGCAGGCCCTGTGCCAGCAGCATCTGGCTGGAGCGTAGAACACAACCCCAACCGCTGTCGGTGGTCAGAGAGGAGCCGGGGAGCGGACGGAAACCTCGTCTGTATGTAAACCACAGGAGCGATGCAAAGCACCAACGGAAATGCTGTTGATCTACTGCAACAATTACAGAGGCGCAATTACAATTTTCTCCTTTGCTTTTACAGTCACATGACAGATCGTTTCAGGGTTTACGCGGGACAAATGCTCTACTCCTACAAAATGCCTCACCTTCATCTTTGAGCTCATGGGATTTCCCCAGCATGAACACAGGAGAGCGCTTGCTAAATTTAGATTTTTGCTTCAAGGTCCAGCCTGAAAGGGAAAAACGGTAACTGTTTACTTTCAAAAAACAAAGGGGACAAGCAGGTCTGCTCACCACATCACTTATTTTCAGTCTCTGACAGAAAAAGAACTGACCGTATTTGACGCTGTTCCATGCTGAGACCAACTTGTCTTTGAATCTGCCTTTGTCCTCTGCCTCCTGGTCATCCCTGCTGTCTTCTAGGCCCTGGGAAACAGCTGATTCAGTAGAGAAAAAGACCCAATCATCCATGAGGTCATCAGCAGTAGACTGACCCACAAACTGAGCAGAGGAGGTGCTAGGCTTCATAACATGTAGAGATGACCACGATGGAGCAAGAAGAATTGCTCATTATCATCACAGCAGCCTACACACAAAGAAAAAAATAATAATAGCCCAGTTACATACATATGACGCAATCAGCCATGGATGATGCACCCATGTGCAATAATTATAGGATGCATTCTTGCAACACACAAACTCTACTAGCAGATCTCAGAAGCTAATGTTACACTCAGCAAAGCCATTAATGATCCGTGTCAGTAAGGAAAAAGAAAGCACGTGACGGCACCCTGTGACTCAAAGAATTTCAGATATGCCTATTTAACTGCAGCAGGAGACTTGCTGGTTTCTTATTTTAACTAACATTTGGCCACTAACTCTGAAATTTTAGAAAACGGATTTTTGGCAAAGTGCTGCATTTACATGTTCATGCAATTTGTGCGGCTAGATGAGTAAACAGTGTAAAAGTCCCAAGACAACAGTGTAAAAATCTGCACAACAAGCAAAATGAAGTAAATTATCAGAAACAAATGTGCTTGTACTGTTCACAAATTGACACAGTGACTGATATATTTTCATGTTCTGAATCATGGGTCAGTTTTCCAGCCTAGCCTTACACTAAAAGCTTATTTTTCCCCCCTCAGTGGAGATCATCCTTGATTTTTCTTTTACTCTGGGAGTAGGCTTAATCTATGTCCGTGGAACTGGCTGTATGAGTTTGTTAATACTAATGTCAATTTGTTAATCAATGAGTTGATGAGATTGAGTTGCTCCTGTTAGCAGAACTTCATAAACAGATCAGTAGCTTAGTTTTTTTGTGCCTCTCCAGTTCAGGCTAAGGGCCTCCTCAGATGGGGAACAAGATAAAACTTGAGATAAAAAAATGATGTAGGAAAGGAAACAACACAATGCTCAACTGAAAAAAGGGTAATTATTTTGACCTCTTAACCTTCTATATTTCAGTTGAATGTGTGTATTTCACAGTTACTTTCAAACGGAACCATTTAAAAAAGGGACATCAAACATAAGGCCCAGGGGCCAGAATCAACCCACAAGAGGCTCCAGTCCAGGTAACTGGACACCTTTGAACAATGTGAAAAAGTGCATGGATTTTGGACTTTCAATTGTATTTTCATGAGTTTTACGTTTGATATTACTGACAAAAGACACCCCGCTCCCCCACAATGCCTTTCATGCTATACCAAAGTAGTTAAGTAAACAATTAAATAAGAGAAAATATACCGTTTTTCAGTATCTACTATAGATGTCTTGTTTTTTTGTGTTTTGTATTTTCTGTAAATGAACAAAACAACTGAGACATACATCCTGTTAAATTGCACCTTTTTTTCTTAAATCATGGGCATCTCGGGGATTAAATGTCTAGTTAAATGTGCACTCAGAGAAAGGTAAGTTTCACTGGTCTGGCCCACTTAAGGTCAAAGTGAGCTGTATTTGGCCCGCATGATGTAAAAGTTTAACCATGATCTACGAGTTTTAGTTAGTAGTCTCTCTTCGGTCGTTCAGTTCAAACGTCTCACAATTGAAATATTTCAGAAGTCCGGTAAAGCTTGGGAAACTGGTTTAATACTGAACAGCTTATTATGATGTGCTCACGTGTTTTTTTTTTGTTGTTTTTTTAATTTTAAAGAAGCATTAAGTCTTTAAGTTCGAATACTTAAATTGTAACGTTACCTTCCATAGGCGAGTGGCACGGAATCAAACTAGTTTACAGTAAACTACAGCGCTGTGTGAATACACCAGTGACACCTCTGTCAAACAAAATTAAGCGAATTAACACATAAAAAAATACATTTTACCATCATTTCGGTAGTGTCATTCTACCTCCGGTGATAAGAATGAGTCCGTGAGCAAATGCGAATGAAGTGTGCCGGTCTGTTTTCGTTTTGTTGGGCTCAGTCTTGCTTGGTCTTCGAACAGCAGCAGTCAAGTAAAGTTGCGCTCACTTCCTGTTTATACAGGTCACGTGTTGTCACTCCTGTGATTGGCCAACGGAGGACCAATAACAGTGAGACCCGACTCTCAGGGCGGACGTTCATGTTAGACTCAAAAAGTGAGACAAAGGAAGTATTTTTTGCATTTTATTCTGCACTATAGGCTTTTTTATTTTATTTTTTTTATTTTATTTTGTTTGTTTTTGCATTGTTTTTTTACGACAGTGGCTATTAGGTATGTAACAATGTAATGGACAACAATAGTCTGAGAAAGCAAAGTTCTCGTAAACACGCCTAACACTTGGACAAAAATAGATGTGACAGCAACATCACAGCTTCCGACTTAATAGAAAGACTAGTCAAAACTGCACAGGATGGGCTAGCCACATAGATTTGGTAAATTTCTCATTCTAAACGTAATCAGCGTCAGAACATGAACTAATATTAGTAGTAAATCAGAATTTGAAATAAATACAAAGTTACTAACTACAACAAATAGAAAAAAATATAAGAAAAAATAAAAAGTTTGACACAACATAAAGTGCATTTTTTTCCTCACATCACACATAAACCACCACTGTTTAATGTCTAAACATCTAAACGTCATATAAATCTGATTCAAAGATGTTCATCATTAATCAATCAGAACTATAATGTGTGGGTTAGAAAGATCCACAGGCAGAAGATAGACTGCTCATTAAATGTTCACTAGTTTTTTTTGTGTACCTCAGGTCCTCTGGTGTCAAGTTAGTTCATCCACAAGGTGGCAGTCTAAACCAGGTCTTGGACCTGGAGTCCAAAATCTATCAAGATCACTTGAACACACAACAATAAACATCACCTTAACACTAAAATCCTCTTGACAGATCTACTCCTGTGTACAACCTACTACGGTTTCACTGACGAGGATGCTCAGTTTTATGGAACTGGGCACTTTTGGATTGCATATTGTTACACATTTAAGTACAAAAACCCAACAAAAACATCACATTATCCCTAAATGAAAACACTGGCACTTTCCTTCACACCTATTACACTATAAACTGTACTTCTGCATAAATAACAAAGAGCGAGTGAAACCACAAAATCTCCTCTAAGTTGTACTTTCATTACGCTTCTGTCTCCACTTTGTCTCCATACCACACTCTGAGCACACTTATATATTCACTTAATAGGTTAAAATATGTAATTGCACATTTCACTATGACCAGCAGAGACAGCTATTTAAACCAAATGCTTGACTTATTGCAACCCTTTCCCCTTATTTTTTCTCATCTAGAGCACAATGTAAATGTAATATTGAGGACACACACAGAGAAAAACTCACATCATTAACACATTGCATAGCGTCCCAGTGCAAGATCACCTCACCAGTGTCTCAAAATCCAGCCCTTAAACACATCTGGAACAAACAAGCTGATCCCCATTCCAGTATCTTGGTCCAGAGTTCAGGATTGTTTGACCCCCTCCCCAGTGCACGACATATGAAAAACCTTTCTGTGTCTGATCCCTTTTAGTAACTAAAGACTAAAGAAAATACAGTTCGTGTCATACTGAACTAAATGATAGAGCCGATGTAATGTAATGCCCATTTAAATGAGGCATGTGTGCCAAAATTATGTTCACATGCTCACTGCTTATGTCTGCTTAACATGTCAAGTTATGTTTGAAACAGTCCAGGGCAGAAATACAAAACGTAGAAACCAGCATACAGTTAGCTCCATAAGCTTTTGTGACATTTTCAAACACAAATGAAGTGAATGATTGCAGATTTCTTTTCTAGGAACCCTTTTGTGAAGGTTGTCAAAGCCTACAAATATGAAATACAGAAGGATCAGAATAATCAATAAAGAAAAATAAGGAGAAAAAGAGAAACAGCTTCTGATCTGAAGCACACCACATCATCCGTCAAACATGGTGGAGGCAGTGTTATGGCATGGACATGTTTAGCTGTCAGTGGAACTGAGGCACTAGTGTTTATTGATGATGTGACCGTTGAAAGAAGCAGCAGGATGCATTTAGTGAAGTGTACAGGAACATGCTTTCTGCTCGGTTTCAGACAAACACTGCAAAACTGATCAGACAGCTCTTCACGGTGCAGCTGGATAATGACCTAAAGCAAACTGCAAAATAAACCCAAGAGTTTCTAAAAGCAAAGAAATAGGAGATGTTTAAAAACTGTTTAAATATTAAAAGAAAAGCATAAATGAAAGGCAAAATTAATTTAAAATAAATAAATAAATAACATGAAATGTAAACCCAAGTGTAAAAAATAAATTGATCAAAATTCACAAATAGAAACAAACAGCAACCGAGTAAACAAGCAGTAAGAAATTTTTCACAGGAGACTTGACAAAAACTATGTAACGCCTCAAATTTGACTAAAAGCAAACACAATTTGTTGGGTCTCCAAAAGTTATTTAAAATTATCAGCTGTTTGGAAGGACCTTACACAGATTGTTCCAGAGCCTGAGATCCATAACAGAAAGTAATCTTCAACATATTGTGAAGCTGACTCACAATAAAAATGCTATTACATAAGAGCATTTAAAAAATCAATTCTGTCTTTCACAGTTTTTTCTTCCTGCTACGAGTTAAGTCTTTGAAATGACATAAAAAATATTTAGTCACATGTGAAATCGACACACACGGCAAACACATGAACATAATTTTGGCACTACTGGACCCCCATACAAGGATAACAGACTCGACCTGTCTGCACATGTGGCTGTGTTCAGTTGAAAAGTTGTTCACAGTGTTCTCTACCTTAAGGTCTGCTGTATAATTAAATTTTTTTAAATATTCTTTCATTTCCCATGTACAGTGTTAGACATGCATTCAGACATATGCATTTGTTTGTACTATATACAACATAATGTGATGAACATACAGTACATACACAGGTCTACATTAGGACACCATGTGCACATGTTTTCCAGCAGGAGTCAGCTGATGCAACTTTGTTCTGTCATCTTTTTTGGTCTTTTTTTCAGCATGTCTCTCCATTTACATTTCGTGTAAATTCATGATATGTTAGCTTGATGCTACAGTTAAAAAGGCATTGCATGGGACAATCGCACTCCCTCTGAAGCTCTTATCACGAGTGATGCTTAGAGCTGCGAATGTTTCCTTTATCAGATTGGATAGTGCTGGCTGCTGTCTGAGCCCCCCGGCGGAGACTGACAGACGAAGCTTCTCCTTTTCCTGCAGTGCTTCCCCGCTTCTCCTCGCCAGACTTGGATATGTCTTTTACCTTGCCTCCCTCTTGTGATCCCCCCTTCATAGGCCCGAGGACTGTTTTGGCCACGCTTGTGAGCTGGGTAACGAAGCTGGCTTTATCCCCTGGAGACATGGGCCGTGACTTGCTCGAGGCGGGTGAGGCTGCATTCGAGGAAGGCGACATGGGGTTCTCCTCCAGGACCTCCAGGTGTTGCCTCTCCTCCTTGACTCCTCTGTTTGTTGGCTTCTCCTCTTTGCATCTGGCTGCAGCGTGGGCTTGACCCTGGTTTGGAATTACAGGTGTAGGTCCTTTGAGCTTGGTGGTATCACTAGCTTTATAGCTTGCTCCTTTCTCTATCGTGTCTGTACCTTTACGCTGCTTGAGCTGCTCTGTAGGTGCTTTCTGAAAGGTCCCTTTGTGTGCAGCTAAAGGGCCTTTTGCCTTCTCCTCAGTCTTCTCCTGAGCTTTTGTTGCAGGTCCACTATCTGTTTGTGCACTTTGCTGCTTGGAGTCTTGCTTTAGCAGGCCCTTTGATGTGCCTGAAGGAGACATTTTTTCGCTGGGTTTACTCTTAAAAGTTGCTGCCTCAGAACCGGAAAGGCTTGAACTTGGAGCTTTGATCCCAGAACCAGGCTTAACCTCTGAAGATGAAGCACTGGACTTGATTTCAACTGCAGCTCCACATCCATGACTCTTTGCAACCTCAGCAGGAAGTAACGTTTTACATGTGTCAACGACGCTCATCTTAGACTCTGCTTTAGAAGCTGCACTCTCAGTTTGTGACCCAGCAAGCTCAGACTCTGTGGTTTGGACTTCTTTCTCTCTTGCTGTTAAGAGTGTGTCACGGCTGAGTGGCGATTCCTGCCTTCCCAGACGTCTCACAGGCTTTAGGCCTCCAACCTCCCCTCCCATAGGAGGAGAGGGGGAGGATGATGATGAAGGAGATGGGGGAGCGGGTCCGTTCTCTCCTTCCATCTCTAGCAGACTTTGTAGACTGTGCTCACAGTGGAAGGACTCTCTCCTGTAGTCCCCGTGTGTCACCTCCAGGCTATGCTTGCGTAATGACACCCCCCCTGTCAGAGGAGAGGGCGATGATGATGATGAAGAAGGCAAAATCTGTGCTCCTAGCTTCTCTGCAGACTGCACCCGCTGCAGCAAAGGGGACCTGGGTGGCTCCGCACTCTTGGGACGTGGGCGGGCAACAGGAGGTGAGGAGTGCAGCTTGGCAGGAAACATCTGCGTGGTATTAGAGCTCCCTACCGTGTGCCCAGTGAGAGGTGGAGGAGAGGAGGTGGTCGGGGACGGGGTGTGAGCCAGGGGAGACAATGGGATGTTGCCAGCAGATTTGCAGCGAGCCGAGCGGTACTGCCGGTGAAGTTTGGGAGACAGCCCATGTAGGGAGCTGGGTCTCATGTGGTGAGTGGTTGCAGGTGAGTTAGGGGTGCTGGAGGCCGGGGAGCTGCTCTGGGATGATGTACCTGAGGAAAAAGAAGAATATTTGAATATTTTTTTCCCAACACAATAAAATGAATATGTGTGTGTTTCTACTCATGTGTCTTGAGTTGTAGGCTAAATTATATAAAGTATAAGTGTGATGAAACACATGAAACATACTTGCAATGTTAAACGCAGCTCTTTCACCTTATTTTTTTCTCAAAACAAAGTTTCTTTTGAACATTATATATGCTTCTCTTAGGCAATATTACTAGAAAACACTCCATACATTTTAATTTCTATACCCAGTTTTATCTATTCATTAAGCCAGATGATATAAATCGTTTAGTTAAAGTACAGGCATGTCTTAAAGACCTGCACAACCTCTAATTTCCTGCTTCTAAATTCAAATAAAATGACATTATTGTACTCAGCCCTAATCTTAGAAACATTATGTCTTACCAGATGCTTTTATGGCATTACCCTGCCCTCCAGTAACACTGTGATTATATATCACAGTGAATATTGGAGTCATTTTTGACCAGATATGTCCTTCAGTGCGTATTTTAAGCCTTTAGTCATTTGTGCGGTATTTCTAAAATTAGAAACATCCTGTTTCAGAATGATGCTTAAAAGCTAGTTAATGAATTCATTACTTCTAACTTGACTACTGTAATTCATTATTATTAGGAAACTGTTTTAGTGAACTAGCACAAAAAAATTTATTATACTAAATATAGTGTTAGTAACAAAAAACACTCAAAGTATTTCCTTCCCCAATAACTAATAGAGAAATGATTAATGTTTAGTCTTCCCCACTGGACTGCACAGGCAAGACATTACACGCATCTTCCTCCATCGCATTACCCCCCAATTGTTTTTTGCTTTTAAACGAGATTATAACAGGCACACGTGCTGGTCGCCTTAAATACTAACCCAGGTGCGGGGATTCAAGAGCGCCACGATAACTCTGAGTGGGCGAGCGGGCAGAGAGGCTGTGGGTGGGGGAGCCCGGGAGACTGTCTCCAGACGACAGGGAGCGATTTAAAGACGAGAGGCTCCGGCTGGTGTGGAGCAGGTTGGACTGCTTGGTGATTTTCCTGAACAGGGAGCTGCGCTTCTTACTGAAAGATGAACAGAAAGCCGAATGACTAGAGTGAAATCATCTAAATGACAGAGGGATACGTTTTCTTGGAATGCTGCAGTGACGCACTCTTGTCCGTCCTTGGCTCCGGTCCTCTTGATGCGTCGTGCCATCTTGCATTTATAGCTGGACTTGCGGGCAGGACCCACTTTGATGGAGGTGTTTTCAAAAGGAGTTGTTGTAATAGTCACCTTGTTCCCACTCTGCAGTTGATGCACAATTATATGATTTATATTAGTACATAAATATATAGATAGATGTTTTTTAAATTGTTTTTATTTTAGATGGATAGATCTCTCCTACCTTCAGGATCAGCTCCACCACCTCTGTATGGACCAAACCGTGGACTGACTCTCCATTTACATGAGTGATGAGGTCACCAGCACTAAGTCCAGCCTCCTGAGCCGGACCTCCATCTTCCACATGCTGTGATTGGAACAAATAAACATCAGTATATTAGCCCAGTTCCCTTCAGATACTGTATGGTACTCTGCATGGGCTGTTCTGCAGAATCACATTAAAGGCGCTATGCGAATAAATAGTAATAATCACATTTGTTTCTGCATTGCTTTAAAGGGAGAAATCAAGATTTCTGCATCCTGTTTGCTTTGCTCTCTCACCCAGACCATGTGATGCACGCTGTAAACATCGCTGTCTCCCATGTAGACTCTGATAGCTCGGAGGGTGAAGCCGTACTTCTTCCCAGAGCGGTGGATGGTGATGGGAGAATGCAGGATGTTGACCATCGGGGAGTAGTCTCGGCTGGGGGATGAGTCACGAGAGGAAGGGTTGGACGAGAGGGAGCGGGGCGACATGGGGCTCGCCAGAGGGGATGCACCGTGTTGTTCCACTGAGGAGAGAAAGCACAAAAGATTCATTTCTAAACACTATTTTTTAAAATGTCTTTGTTAATGCAGTAAAAGAAATGCCTTTACCTGCTGGAATGATGACAGACAGAGCAGTGGCAGAGGCAGATTTGATAACTTTAGTTCCTGGTCTTGAGCTGCGTTTTTCTCCTTCCGAGAGCTGCTGGTGGCGAACTCTTCGCAGCACCAGGTCTGTGGTGGCCCCACGAGTCCCCGGTGGGTCTGGGAGCCCCAGAATGGTAGCACTGCTTGGCAGGGGCAGTGATGCATCAGCAGGTCTCAACAGTTTGTCTGTAATAAGGCAGAGACATGAAAGGTGATAGGAAATATATGTTTTCAAATGAAATTGTTCAAGTCATGAGATGCTCCCTCATTCGTCTTACCGGCAGCTGCAAAGCCATTACTTTCTTTAAGGAATGCCCTCAGGTCGCCTTGAGAAGAGATGGTACCCATGGCTCCTTCCAGAGACGTTCCCCTGGCCTTCACTGGAGGTTGTCTGCCCGGGACAGGCAGCTCAGAGTCCAACTCCAGAGGGGAGGCCAATCGGTAAGAATCCATAAGAGCAGAGAAGCGCCTCCGTGCCCCAGACGGAGGGCTGGAATCACTCTCAGTGAAGGAGGACTCTGAGCAGGATAAACGCTTCCTGAAAACCAAAGACAATTATATTCTGAAATAAACTTTCAATGCCAATGAACTCAGGTAGAAGATCAAAAACAAACGGAAATTGTCTAGCAAACACAGATAGCACTTTTTTATTAACTGTGCTTTTACTCACATCTCCGGTGAGCCAGTCCTCCAGCTCTTATCTCGGAGGGTGACACTTCCCAGGCTTTCTCTCTTGGCTAAGCGATCCTCCCTGGGGACCTTGTGCTCCCGTAGAGTCACGCCATGGGGTTTATGCTCCAGCTGAGACAGATGCTCCATACTGCTGTATACCTTCACATCGGTGCAGCATAACAGTAAATATTTGGGTTCTTTTGATTGATTTGAATGTAGACTGATGAATAAATGCTGACAGAAAAATAAAAGTTTAGGTCCTGACCTTACTGAAGCGAGGGGAACACGACGAGAAGCGATGAATCTCCACAGGCTCGTCGTCATTGGTATCGTCTTCATCGTATGAATGCACGTGGTGATAGCGCTCTGAACGAGCTGGGGGTGAGAAGTAATATACATTCAGTCAGCCACTGCTGACTGAATGTGCTTTATGCTAACATTTACATGGGAGAGTTAAAGACCTTGACCTGTTTCCAAGAATAAGAAATTCCTAAGGTTTAAAGGATCTGTGCTGGAATTCATTCTCTTCAATACCATTCCTTCATTCCCAAAGGGGAACTTACTGTCAAAATAACTGGTGTCTTCCTCTGACTCTAGATGAGGGATGAACTCTGCCTTCTGTCTCAGCAGGCTGTTCCAGTCCACCTCAGTGAAGAATGAGTGCTGCTTCACTTCAAAAGCACCACCTTCGGGGCAGAGCAAAGGAAAGGAGGTGGATGTAAAAAGAGAGAATGAGGGAGCGCGATGACAGACAGGTAGTAATAGCAGCCCTCAAGCATGTGGAGGCATTTCTACCCTGAATGAAGCTGACTTATTTGGGTAAACTGAACCCGTAAGCCAGCGCGCACGATGACAGTTATTGTTCTAGGTCAGCGAGCTCCAGTCAGGGTTAGGTGTACCCAAGAGGGATGTGCAGTGGTGGAAGAAGTATTCATATGCATTTCTTAGATGAAAGTACTAATACAGCACAGTAAAAACCCCCACAAAAAAACAACTGAACTACAAATAAAAGTCCTGGATAGAGACAAAAGCATATACAGTGTCTTGTTTCACTGCTGAGAAAACAGACCAGTACAGTAAGGTTTATCAGATGGTATAAAGGAAAGCTGTTAACAGGAAGTCAGCCTGAACAATGAAATCATCAGGAAACCACAATGAGACTGTGAAAACACAAAGAAGAAAACACAAAAAATCTCAGTTTGGTGGGCCAACTGGAACTGTGACTAAAAGTTTGAGTGGACCACAGAAGACTGCAAGATTTCACATCAGGCTGCGGCATTTCTATTTTAGGATTCAAACACATCAGGAATCATTCAAATTTTTTGCATTTTCTCAGAAAAGTTCATCTTAATCTTTGCAGAATAATGTTGCAGCTAAAAATCAAAGGAGAACGAGATGTAAAACAAAAGTAGCTCAGAAAGTGTGCAGTGGGATAGAAGCAAACTATTCAAGCACACTGCTACAGAATTGTTCAGGGAAGGTTCCCAAGTGTATCTTCAAATGTAAATAAATATACATGCCACTTTATTAGCAAGACCTTGCCAGTACTGAATTGGACTCCTTTGGCCTTCTGAACCGCCTTAATTTATTGTGGCATAGATTCAACAAGGTGGTGGAAACATCCCTTGGAGATTTTTCTCCATGTTCACATGACAGCATAACACAGTTGCTGCAGATTTTTCAACTTTCTGTTCCACCACATCCAAAAAGGGCTCTGTTGGATTAAGACCTGGTGACTGAGGAAGCCATGTGGTTACAGTGAACTCATTGTCAACTTCAAGAAACTAATTTGAGATGATTTGAAGTTTGTGACATGGTCTGTTATCCTGCTCGAAGCAGCCATCAGAAGATGACTGGTGAAGGGTAGACTGTGGTTATAAAGGGATGGACATGGTCAGCAGCAATAGGTAGGCTGAGGATTTTAAACAATTCTCAATTAGCACTGTTTTAAAATAGTGTCTCTAGTGGGCCAAGAAACACCATAACCAGCCTGAATTGTTGGTAAAAGGCAGGATGGGTACATGCTTTCATGCTGTTTATGCCAAATTCTGATCCCATGCAGTAGAAATCGAGACTCATTACATCAGACAACGTTTTTTCAAATCTTCTATTGTCCGGTTTCCTGTTCCAGTCATCAGTTTCCTGTTATTAAGCTGACATGAGTGACACCAGGTGTGGTCTTGGCTGCTGGTGGTTCGACATGTTGTCCATTCAGATATGCTTTTCTGTATATCTTGATTGTAACAATCTGAGTTACCCTTTCCTTCCTATCAGCTCAAAACAGTCTGGCCATTCTCCTCTGACATCAGCAAGACATTTTCACCCAGAGAACTGCTGCTCATTGGATATTTTCTCTTTTTAGACCATTTGCTGTAAACCATAGAGATGTTCAGTTTGCTCAGTTTGAACTTAAGCAGGTTACCTTAACCATGTCTATATGCCTAAATGCACTGAGTTGCTGCCATGTGATTGGCTGATTAGATGTTTTAAGTGGGAGTTGAACAGGCGTACCAAATGAAGTGGCTGGTGAGCCTACATCATTTCCACATGTAAGCATTACACCATACACTGGACTAAAGAGTGAATGAAAACTAGCAGAGAGGTCTGAGCGGAAAAATCAATTATTACCACAGCTGAGAGTAAACAAATATGGTTAGAATAGTGCAAAAATATTGGAACCATAAAATATCTGTGATGCATAAATCTGCGTCAAGTCTGATTCAAATTTAAATGAATGCACATAGAAAATAACTTCAGGTGGTGAGGAATCACTACACGATTTCATCTGAATCCTGGAGAAGCCAGAAGCTCTGCTGTAGGAGACTGACCTGTGCCCAATCGAACCAGCGGATTTGTCTGCAGAAGAGAGGAGATCAGGTGCTGGGCATCAACAGGAAGAGCCTCATCTCCTTCTGGCCACACTATGTCATCTACCAGAAACAAGCCGACAGAGAGAGAGAGAGATTATGGTGGATGGTACATGACTAACAGTTTGTTTTACTTATCAGCTGTGCTCGGTGTCCAATGATGCTATTTCTACTGAGATACTTTGATCTCTCACCTGTAATGACCTGTCCAAACAGCTCCTCTGGAGTGTCTCCAAAAAAAGGCACGCAGCCCACCAGGAACTCATACAGGATGATGCCCATCGCCCACCAGTCCACTGGCTTTCCATAACCCTGACGAAGAATAACCTCTGGGGCGATATACTCTGGAGTTCCGCACACCTTAAAGTAAAGCAGCAATCGGTCGTTTCTTAAATTTTATGACCTCCGATTTTTGTGAATTACTTGGGACCCACTCATCCTTACAGGCATGTGCATTTTTGCTGCTAATAACATTTCTTTCACATCTAACTGAATCGTGTATTCATCATTTACAACCGTACAGTCGCTCCTACAGTCGTCACAGAGCGGGAAACACACAGCATGTGGGGAGCATGCATATTTATGCTTAGCCAAGCCATCACCTCAAAGATGCCAAGACAAGATGAAAGCCCCGGTGGGTGTTTTTTCATGTGCAGATGGGCATGCACTGAATCCTAACACATATGTGGTCGACGTGATGAATGCACGTGAAATAATGAGGCTTAAATTCAAAGCGAGTGCTGAATAAAAGCCCTGGAAATATAAGCCTTTCCTGAAAGAGAAATTATTATAACCAAGGAAAGGCTGGTCTACTGTTGTGCCAACTGTGCCATATTTGTCAGATACACCTGCCACACAATGGCAGGGAATATCTTTACATGGAAATGCAGCATTCAAAGGAAATTTTATAGTGAAACTTGCTTGGATCATACTGTAGTCTACACTTTAATGCTGATAAAATAAAACACACACACACACACACAGTTGTCCTGATGTGTACAGTACAATTAATTTAAATTGACTCACATTCGCTCGATACTTAGTTTTAATATAGCAGAGAGTTTTATTCATTTGTAAAATTCAGATGTTTTGTCAGACTTTATTTAAACAAATTAAGATCTGAGTAAATGGCTGTGTATCTGACTTCGCTTTGGTCATACCTGTTTATCCAAAAATTCTCGAGTATCCTTCTCTATGTGTCCTTCATACAAGTTGGTGGTCAGGCTCATCAGACCCATCTTCGACAGGCCAAAGTCAGTCAGTTTGATGTGGCCCATTGAGGTAATTAGGAGGCTGAGAACAGAAAGACAAAAGTTACATTTGAGCAGTCTAAACCTTATTTATACATCTTAGCAAATAATTGGCGCTTGCTCTCTTTGCCCCTGTGTGACAGAAACTAGCTCCATCTTACTTGTCAGGTTTGAGGTCACGGTGCACAATGCCATAGTTGTGTAAGTACTCCAGCGCTAGGACTGTCTCTGCAAAGTACATGCGTGCCATTTCCACGGGCAGAGCCCCGATGTTCTTTAGCAGGGTGGCACAGTCCCCACCTGCCAACACAATTCAATATTTGATTAGTGTCCCGGGTACTCAAAAGTTACAATGATTGGCTCCTGGTGGCTTTTGTGCTAGACTCCTATTTAGGCTGACAAGCACACATAGTAATGCTATATAGTTATTTAAAACTATGCTTCTTATTGTGATTGTTTGTATTGACAACATACAGGCACACAGGGAACCTACACTGGACCTCTGACCAAATAAGGTCAAATAAGGTCAAACTTTCATAAGTTTGCTGCTGCCTTTGTATTGTATTGGGAACATTTAGGAAATGTTACAAAATATCATGTCACCTTTGACCTCTGACCTCACCGACCTACATTTCACATCTTCCTTTCTTTCAAGTTGACCCCAAAATGTGCTACATCTTTCTAAGAGCGTCTTGTTAAAGCCTTTTATCACTTATATTTAGTAGTAATAATGACATTAGTTAAACAGAAGCATCAAACGAGTCTCCAATAGAGGATTATAAATAAATGAAATCCTTACTTCTTCAAAAAGCTCTCAGTGTCTATAACCCAATGAGACCTCTCAGGTCAGCAGGTGCTGATCCTTCACTTGTTCCCAGAATCAGATCTAAATCTGCTGAGAGCGCTTCAGTTACTCTGGTCCTATTATTTGGAACAAGCTGCCTGCTGACCTCAGATCAATTACTACTGTGTCTCAAAAACAGACTCAAAACCATTTCCACAGGCCTGCACATGATAACTGTGCCACTTTGGGAAGCACACTGAGTTTACATTTAAGGAAATGTGTCATGATATTCAGTTCAGTCAATATACGGTGGGATTTAGGTTATGGTGTATACAAACAGGAACATTTAGCTCACTAACCAGTTAACAGCTTAGAACAGCGGTCCCCAACCCCCGGGCCTCGGACCGGTACCGGTCCGTGAGTCGTTTGGTACCGGGCCGCGGGAGTTGAGGCTCAGGTGTGAAATGTATGGTTTTTATCGGTTTTCAGCGTTATTTTGTTATCGTTTACTCGGTTTTCCTGGGTCTTTTCACGTGTGTTATGAATAAACTTTCTTTTTTTCGGTACCGGTACTAGTTTTATTTTGTTGTATTTATCCGCGACACCTTAAAAGCCGGTCCGTGAAAATATTGTCGGGCATAAACCGGTCCGTGGCGCAAAAAAGGTTGGAGACCGCTGGCTTAGAAAACATATGTGCTCCATAGCCTCAATCATTAGTGTGGATGCTGATTAAGCATCCACAGTATTGTTCTTCTACTTTTCATCTTCCGTACGTTTTTTGTACGCTATTGTTTGGTCTACAGCCATCGTTTTACCCTGAAAACGTAGCCATTGTTGCCCTCTTTCATTCAATGTTATTATTATTGTAATAGATGGTATGGTTCTTTCATAAATGTCACCAATGCACAGCCTCCTACATCCAACTCTTCCATAGAAGAGTAGAGTCGGCTCCCAAAATTTGTCTAAAAGTCAGAAGTACAGGCTGTCTTTACACTGTCACCACGTCCATATAATAAACTCCACAGGCATGAAAACTGAGAATTGTGTAGACTCGACATTGCTGCCGCTCACGGTGAAGGAATTCTGTCAATACAACTTGTAGTTTTGTCTTTGGAAGCATTTGTTTGAGAGTCACTTTTCTGTTCTGGTGCCACTGGCTGGAGTCACTATAGCAGCCAGGCTCACACCTGCATCCTTAAATGAGCTCTGTCTGTCCCTCTGCCAAGATTAATCTTAAAAACTTCTGTTTTAACTGCTGCTGTGTCAACAGCGTTTGCTCTACAGCCATCATTTTACCCTCAAAATGTAGCCATTGTTGTTCTCTTTCCAAAGCTCAGAGATTTAAACTTTTTAAACTGTGTGGATCCAAATAGAGGGATCGCATTTCAGTCATTCAGTGATTAAAAGAATATGAACTTTTAATATTAATTCAGATGCTTTCTGACTCTAAATTTTCTTTTGTAATTACTTAGCTTTTTCTAATTTATATTTTAAACATGTTCAGCTACTTTTCAACTTCTTCTTCTGTGTGAACGTCAGTTTTCAACCGTTCTGCACTTTCAGGTGACAAATTCTGCATTTTTCATCTCATTCAACATTTTTAACTTAACATTCAGCAATTATTTCATTTCAGCTCAAAACATTCAGCTAGCAGCATTCACACAGCAGTTTCTTCAGAAAATGCATTTTCCAGTTTTAAATACTATAATGTAAAATGTTGCTAAAATATTAGCTAGACAGACTGTAAACTGTAAAACGACTGTCACTGATTGGGTTACTTTTTGTTTTGCACATGTAGACCTGTCCTCACCTTCTACGTACTCCATGACCATGCAGAGGTGCCGACGTGTTTCAAAGGAGCAGAACATGGAGACGACAAAGGGATTCTCTGCAAAGGTGAGAATGTCTCTTTCTACGAAGGCCTGCTGGATTTGGTTCCTCAGTATCAGGTTCTGCTTGTTAATCTTCTTCATGGCAAATCGCTGCCGTGTCTCCAGATGCCGCACCAGGTAAACAGCGCTGGTTCACATGCAGACACAGCCAGAGAGGCATGCAGTTTGACCATTTTATTTTCACTGGCTCTGTGTGCTTGTAAAGGAAAAAAAAGCACATATGTGAGGGAGAAAAGCTCTGCTCACCCATATGCTCCGTTACTTATCAGCTTGATGGTCTGGAAGTCTGCTTCTCCTGGTGGTTTCATTGCTCTCATCTTACCCTGTGGATCAAAGATCACAATGCAAAGATTAAATATGATCCAGTGGGAGGATAGAAAGCACGTTCTATATCATTTTTGTCACCTGTTAAATTAGTCTTTGCTGATGAACATTTATATTGTCTGCACAGATAAGCAGAACCTGCTCCAGGCATTTCCTATGTCCTCCTTCCTGTTTTTTATTATAGTTTTTTGTCTGCTTATCCTAATTTGGAGGCCATGTGATTCAAGGAAGGGGTGGATCCGGGTTCAACAGCCTCAGTGCAAATGAGCTAATTGAATGGACACCAGCCTGTTTGCCAAGTCATCAGCAGATGAAAACATTTTCAACAACCTTTCAGCCACGTTCAGCCAGCAGAAACGACCAGACTGGGGAACATTTTGGATCTCACCTCTGTGGAGTCATCTGTTTCAGGTGTCACTGGTCCCTCGCTGTCATAACTTTCCAAGTAAACCATATCTGATGACAAACACATGTTTGATCAAAAAAATCTGGTAGTCATTTTATTTTCTAATAAGGAGACTTGTTTTGCTTTCCTTTATTTATGTCATATAAAAGGGCTCTTATTGAGCTTATAATAAACATGCCAGTAGTTATGCAAGCTCAGATTACAGACTGGTATATGTGAGACTCCAGAAGTGCCACACATCTGTTATTTAAACCTTCTGTTTATGAGAAAGAGCCAATACCAAGAAAGCTGGCTTAATGCAGTGGTTCCCAAACTGTGGGACAGGCCTCACTGGAGACAAGCTAAAATGTCTTGTATCAGGCATCATATGATATGAGTGGCAACAGCAAGGCCCAGCATGATATAAATAAGAATAATTTGGAATTGTGATAAAACTAGGGATAAAACTATAAATTCATAAATGTCCATAATAGGCCCTGTTTAAACCTGTTAATTGTTTAAAGTTCCTCTACCCACCTTCAATCGGGTCTCGAGTAAGCCCCAGCTGGCCAATGATGTAACGAGGGATATCTGTTTTCATCAGATGACCCTCCTTGGCGTGGTCCTCAGCTGCCTCCAGCAGATGGTAAAACTCCTCGGGGTTAAACTCCTGCAGAGAACAACAATAAAACCTGAGTAGCTGATGTCATCAGGTATAAAGTTTTGGAGCTCATCCAATAATTATTCAATCAGCTACATTAAATTAGAGTGATTTGTGGTGATTTAATTTTCCTTTGAGTTATCCTGGCATTTGGTTGTGAATTTAATAAAATATCCAAGTCATTTCATGAATGACTGCCTCTGGATCAGCCCAGGATTTGTTTTTGTAGTCTGTGCTGCTACTGAGGAACTGATGGTGGTGGTCAGAACGGGGCAGGGAAAAGAAGCATCAGCTCGTCTTCCTTGCAAAAGTTAATACCACGTGTCACATTTGAGAATCTGCTGTGCATAAACAGAGAAGATCAATATGATGCCAATTCACAACAAACAGTAGTTTCAAAGTGCTTTAGGTTGTGTAGTGGCCATTAGGTGTGACTTGTAGGTGGTGGGGGTAGGGGAGGGGGTGTGAAGGTAAAGAAAAGCAGGGGCGCCTCCAGAATTTTTTATTATAGAGGGCGCCATATGGGGGCCAGTAAAAATATTTTTGTGGCACACTAAAAACAGAATTTCCACTTTTATTAAGCTGTTGTCAAATATAGGTTACTTGAAAAATCTGGCAAATAAGAGTGAAAGAAAAGAATTCGAAGCCTAGTTAATTTCATGGCATTGAAGCTGATGTCACTGAAAATAGGTTCATATGAAAACCAGATAAGATTTTGAAATTCACATTCATCTGTTTTAATTAATTCATTGACTGGAAGTTCTAATCATCGCTTTAATGATTCTCAGCTGAGAATCATTAAAGAAAAGACAAAAAAGAAGAGCTGACAAACAAGAAATGCGGCAAAACTATGGGAGAAAAAAGAGAAAGAAAAAGTTCATGACAAGCTGTAGTGGCATAGAAATGCATTGTGAGTAAAAAAGAGGGAGTTTAGTACTCTGTAGCATAAGCCTGTAGCAAAACCACTAATATCACCTAATCTTGCTTTAACTACAAGTCTTATCAAAAAGTTATGAGTCTTAAAAGCAGAGAGGATGTGTTTGTCTCCTGAACTTAAACTGGGAGCTGGTTCCTGAGGAGAGGTGCCTTACAGCGGAAGAATCTGCCTCCCATTCCACGAAGCACACACGCTCTAAAATATGACCACTCAGGACTTTGCATGTGAAGAGAAGGATTTTAAATTCGGCTTATTTTTACAGTTATGATTTCAGATAAACTAGTTTGACGTAAAGAATAATTTAATTTTCAATTAGGCGTGCTCGCCAGGAGAGACTGGAACAATGAATCAATTCTCCACGTCACCGTCTGAGCTGTCTCTCACAATCAAGAACCACGTCAGCTTGGCATGACTCATGCAGGGATGCACAACTGATATCCTCTTACGAAACACCAAGTCACAGCAGGCTCCATAGACAAAAACCATATCACACACACACACACACACAGACATCCTTCAACTTTAAACGACAACGTGGTCACGGTATGTTTGAGGCAGGCTGGAAGGCAGCCGAGCAGCAGGGGGCTACTGCCTGGTATTAGCCATACTCTGGGAAGGCAAATTTAATCTAAATGCAAATGTCTCCGCCATCCAGACAGACTGGACCAAGTCTTAGACTGGTTTGCTTGTTTTCATTTCACATTCCTGCTGTGTATAAAATCAGACTGTTAAAATGCTCATAAGGGGCTACAAATATGTTTTTGCGCTGATGATTGCTTTTTAAAAATAAAGCAATTTGCCTCGAGTCACAGGAGCTGTGAGAAGTTCTGTGATGAATCATGGGGCTGGAGGAGGATTGTGATCATCGCAGCAGTCGATGGGTGGGTAAATACTGATAAGTGTGAGTGTGATCCTACCAGACACTCCAAAAGCCTTGCAGGTCTGGCGATGATGATCAGAAGCTTTTTCACCAACTCCGTGACAAAGATTACCTCGGAGCTCTCCGAGCGCTCAAATGCCTGACGTACAGACACACAGAGAGGCAGAAAGACAGATATGCATCAGCATTTTTAACATTTGCAAAAAGTGACATCTGACAACAATAAAACATGCACACAAGACAGAGAAAATCTGTCAGTCAAAAGACAGACGGAGGCACGAAGGTACATAATCAAAAAGCTGATCCAATCAAACCTAATCCAGGCAACCCAGGGTAATCACAGCAATCTAATCAAGCTGTAAAGATGGGCTCTATGAAATTCGCAGATACCTGTTATCTTCTCTGGCAAATCACATGCACAATTAGCCTCCAATTTGGCTCTCGCCAAAGGCTTTGTGTGTTTGAATCTAATTAAAAAGACCTGAGGTGAATCACTTAATCACAAATCTTGCAAAGCTTCACATATCCCCATCACCTGTACCTGATCTGCTCATGATCTGTTTTATTGATGTTTACTCACAAAGCGTATCTACAAATTAATCTTTATGCAGTTCATCTGCTTCACCTTTCTCTCCTGCTCACTATTTGAATACTTTTGTTGAAAAAAAGGCATTCTATGGAAAAAGAAACTGTTTAATACAAATATAAATGAAAAAAGTCTAATTTTTATATTTTTATTTAATTTCATAGAAATGGCTGTTTTCAGGCTTGCATTCTTTCTAATGAACAGCAGGGGGCGACTAATCTGGCTGCAGAAAGGAAGTCCACTAGCATAGAAATATATGAGGAAAGGAACTTGCAGCTCATTTGATTTAATGACCTCAGTAAACATCATCCTGTAGAGTTCGTGGTTTTGGTCCCTAGTTTCGAGTCATATTAAGCACAGCATGTAGTTTCTTTTGTAAATTTGGGACCTCTTTAATGTCTAGAAGAACAATAAAGCAGGCTTTGCTTTAGTGCAGATGTACCTTATGTCTTATGTCCCATATCAGAGCGCACTCTCTTGATTTACAGTCATATATGACCTGCACACTTTCCATATGGCAACTGCGGTAATCATGATCACTGTCTAGCACAACACCTGGAGCTAAGGGGGCAAAACAATCGCATGAATCGCTGCTGTTTGACTGAGGAAGAATAAAGTAGTCGTGGTAAGCCAATCACATGACCACTTCAAGATGACAAAGCAACAAGGAGTGATACACCTGCTGCTGTCAGACCTGCAGGTATCAGGCTGTGATTTTCTCCTTTATAGTGGACAGAAATTATTGTTTTGGAGTGGCACAAATATGTGGCATATTATTGAATGCAGAAGAGCTGATTGTTCTGTAAATAGTTTGAAATGGTTATTTAAAAAATCAAGGTAAAAGGTAAATGGCTGCAAATAACTTTGTTGTTTGCAAAACTTGTGCATAGGATTTTAAAATTGACAATTTATATTTGCATTTAAAGTTATGAAATATGATTCATTAAACATGTTTGGTTGTTACAGTAAAAATATACTTTTTCTACTGATTTTATGTTTTTTGTCTGATTTTAGATCAGTTGTGTTAATACAGTATGTCAAAATGAAAACATAACTGTAAATTCAGACACGTGAGGTTGTGCTGAAAAGGATGATACCAAACAAGGCAAAGTAAATAGTTTTTAAAGGTGAAATGTGGAGGGGAAATCAGAAGTAGTTAAAAATGGCCAATTATACCCTGGACCCCAGAGGTTTTTTTTAAGTAATGCAATAGTTACTTTTCAAGTAATTAATTACTTTTAGAATATTGTAACTCAGTTACTAACTCAATTACTTTTTTTGATGAAGTAACTAGTAACTATAATTAATTACTTTTTCAAAGTAACTTGCCCAACACTGCGTATATGCAAGCATCATCTTCAGTTCTAAGCAGTCTTGATTCAGTTTACCATACAGTACATCTCTAAGTCTCTGTCCCCCCCTTGATTTCTCTATGATGTTCACCACTACTGACCACTCTCAGAGAACAGCACTGGTATTTTTTTCCTCTATAAGTCATTTTAAATGTACCGTCATCCACACGATCCCGAAAAAGCTACTGGCTGTCACCTTTGAATCTGTTCCTATTTATGACAAAGCCACTGTACTAAGAATACAACACATGCTTTATATAATAGATAAAAGATGCTAAAATTCAGTGGAGCTGGGGTAAACTGTGCCTTAAACCTTTTCCAGTGAAGAGGAGCAGTTAAGTTGTCTGGTTGCAAAAAGAAGTCCCATTGAGTAAAGAAAATGGGCCTTAGTAAATACTTTCTTGATGAATTTGTGGTCTTAATCTCCAACTTCAAGTCTTATTAAATCCAGCATGATGTTAATTTTGTAAATTATGGTCCTATTTAGTAGGAAATGATTTAGTGTGTGGCTACAATGTGACCAGCAAGTTGCTACTTATGAGTGCGCAGCGTTCCTCAGTTTCTCGGTCAAACCCAGGGACGTCCAGTTTCAAAAAAACAAGATGGCGATTGCCAAAAACTCACATCATGAAGCAGCTTTTCCAGATTCTCCTGTAGCTCGAAGAAGTACACAGAGGTGATGAGGCCTTCGCGAGCTTTGGCCAGGCAGTCTCTGGCCAGCTCTGCTATCTGATGGTGGATGAAGCTGAGGACTCCATCGGCCAGCGGAAGAACACTTTCAGGCAAGTAAGCCTGGATGAACTCAGCCAGCCTCCCCTCCATCTGAGCCGTGGCCTGGTGGGGGACAAGGTGGCGTAAGAAGACAGCAGAGGAGATTAGGTTTAGGAAAAGATTTATTTTCTTAGCTCGGCCGGATTTATGCGAGAGAAAGTTCAGGAAGCCGTTTCATTTGCGATTCAGACAGCGTGGCTCTGCTGATTTAGTCAGACTTCAGCACAATGTCTTTTTCTTTTTTTCATTTCACTTGTGTGAGAACAAGCCCAAAGAGCTTTTACCGCAGATGAACTCCAAACTATAATGCTCAATTTCCTATGGTTTGATTTTTATCACTGTCAAAGCTTTCAGCTTCTTTCCTTTTGATACCGACCTCACCGACCGGCTTTATTTCACTGTTCATAACTGGAGCGGTATTTTTACATGCACTGAATAAACGTAATATTCACACTGACGGGGTGAATGGAGCTTGGCACGTTCTCATAATCTTGTTTGCTATGGTTTAGCAGCCCACATGGTTACGGTTCTTTCCCAGTTTTTTGGATGCAGGATATAAAACATTTGCATACACAGATCTCTGATAATGTTCAATCACAAACTGCAGAGCTTTGACTGTTTTTAATTAGTAACTGAGCACCGAAAAGGCTCCAAAAGTTTACTATTGTGTGCATTTAAACAGAATATGATGTTATCGTGAAGGCTCTTTGCAAGTCTCTGTGTGTATGTTGTGTTAGTGTGTGTGTGTGTGTCCAACCTTTGGAAAACGCTCTTTGTACACGTGGTTCATCATGACTATCTCGTTATCGTAGCAGGAGGAGGAGCGTCCTGGGCTGCAGAGGGACACAGGGGAAAAAATTCAGCTTTTCCAAAGCAAGGGCTGAAAACTGTTATATAATGAGATCAATGCTATAATCGACATATCTGAAATACATTTAAAATAGGCTTCAAGACGCACTGTAAAATGAAAAAAAGTGGATAGTTTTCAATAAATGGGAGTGATTCGAACTAAAGTAATTATTCACACCAAAAGACAAAATTCAATCATAGTTTTCAAAATTATTTGTGTTGACTATACATGAAAAGTTAACTAAGACATTACTGACATTTTGTTTTTTATAGAGGTGTTTTGCCCATAAACTGTTGGCATTTCAATACTCTAATACCTAATCAATACTAAAAGACAGTATTGGTTTATATACGTATTAACTTCATGACTTTACTGAGGTTTAATGTACTCGTACTTCCGTGTCATGCTGCTTTCTTTTTATGTATTTTGGATGCAAGTATTGTACTCTGAACTCTGTACTATTTATCTTAAAGCTTTGGATTATCAGGATTATTGGATTATTATAAATCCATTTAAAAGTATTTAAATCCCCAGCTGCAACAATAATGAGATCTACATGTTAATAAATCATAATTATCATCCGTTACTGTCATGTATCAAATTCTGAAAAGTGTAATTTGACACAAAAGTACTTTTACTTACTTTATTTACTTTGAGTATATTGTGATTATATAACCTATGCATTATTAATCTACTCCAGTAGGATTATCATTTGTATACTTCATCCAAAAAGCTTAATTTTTTTAAACTATCCAACAAAAGATCACTTTTTACGTAAAAATTATAACAGGTCATGAGCCTAAAACTGATGTTTTCTGCATGGATTTTATGTCCAATTAAAAATATTCTGACTTGTGATCCTATATAAGCTAAAATATTTTTTTATTGGTTAAAGGCCTCTTTAACGATAAAAACAAAGATGTTACATAAAAGCAGTAAGATCAACCACTGGTGACCCGGCAAATCTGCTTTTAAGTAGTGCCTCTGAAAAGAGGACAGTGCGCTGGGCAGCAGACGCTGCTGTTTAATCTCATGAGCGCCGCTGCTGTGTCTAACCTGAGGCTGCGGGAGCGAGGGCGCATGTGGGGAGAGCAGCGGCCCCCATCGTCATCCATGATGCTCTCTGTGCTGCCAAAGTGCTTGGATAAGAAGTGGAGCTCATCCATGGTGGGCTGGAAGGGCAGCTGGTGCAGTCGCTCCTGAGAAGAGCTGGAGGACTGGAAGAGGGAGAAGAGGAAGGGAGCCAAGAGGGTGGAGGAGGAAGAGGAAGCAGACGGTGAAGGGGAGAAAATTAAGATGATGGAGGAGGGGGGTGGGATGGCAGATGAGAAAGGGAAGTAGGCGTTGGAAGGATCAAATAGAGAAAGTGCCAGAAAATTAACGACAAAACTCCACCAAATGACGTCCAGCAACTGCAGAAGATAACGATCTGAAAGCTAAATTATTAAAGTGTTTGACAGTCTACAGCTGTTATTCCTCATGGATCCAGACAGTGTGACGACAAACCAGGAACTGAAAGATAATGACGCCTCAGGGCCAGACCTTAAATCCATCTGTCAGTAAAACTTTGTCTCCTATTTCCTTTGCCTCAAACGGGGACAATGAGACCTCTTACATTTCTAAGTGAAAAGAGTGAAGTAAGGATGCAGATTCCTCCCTTTGTTTATTTTATGTGTGGATGTCAAGATTTTTTCCTCTATCTTGGTAGAGTTGCATATTATTTTCCCAGAGAGCATCTGCTGAACTGATCCAGCTGTTACTTATATTTCTGTTCAAGTGTGTGTCTTTTGGGCTACAGTCTCATGAGCACAGACTGGGTCTTCTTCTCTCCTTGTTCACTGGTTTTTCCAAGTATACGGGGAATTCTTGGAAAATTGTTAGGAATACACCTTTGGGACCCAAAATTTTAAATTCTTGCAAACAAGATGAAATAGAGCATCATGATCAGCGTGATCTTTCCACAAAGCTATAATCTGGTAACGCTGTCGGCAAGAAAATGACTCCATTCAGTATTTATGAATGTGTGGTATGATGTGAGAGAATTACTTTAAATAGAGCAGAGACTGAGGGGCCAGCTCAGTGTGATTCATAACATTCACAGCCTTTTGTTTAATGTACTATTGTTGTGTTTCTATTCATAGTATCTGGCTTATTTTGGTCTCTGATTAAATTAGCGTGGAACCGCATGTGCTCTATCTCGTGTAGACGTCTCTTCACTACACCACGTGTCTCATCGCTCTCGTCCCAACCGGCTTGGCGATCGTCACTTTCCCCTCTTGCTCTCTTCCCTTCATCCATCTAAGCCTCCATCCACAGCCAGATGGAGAGAACAACCAGGCCCCTGATATCACTGTTATGCAACACGTCATGCTGAAGGACAGGCAGGGGAAGAAGTAGAAGTGACGAGCTGGAGATGGATACATTTTAATTGTTATCTTAAAGTGAAAATGTATATTCAGCTAATACAAACTGGCTTTTATAGATATATCTAACATGCTAAATGGGGAAAGTTCTGGTATGCTGAAAGGGTCGATAATCATTATAATTATGGTTAATCATCATATAGCTGTGGGGACAGGTCTGATCAATAAGCCCACCCCTCAAGTAATTTAGAAGGAATACAAATTTTGCATTGCTATAATAAGGAACCATAAGGATCATTCCAAAATCAGTAAATGTCATCATAAAGAGTGCATCTAAAAGTATCCCCTATAATAACTAGTATTGGTTCTATAATTCCCTGCACTGCTGCTCTGCTAGCTGTCTGGCCAGATGGTGTTGCGCTATCCTAACAAGACTTATTACTTGATTTTTTTCAGACACGTGGCCACTAACTGTGTGACGATAACTTGTCTTTTTGACGTGTGACAATCACGGTGACAGTATAGTAGTAAATAGGCCTGGAGACCGGTCCATCTCATCTGGCAATCACCGGTCATGAGAGAGAAGCGCACGTTCCCTAGACTTGGCAAAGGTTGGCAAAACCGAATCCTTGTGATTGCTTTGGTGTTTGGCATATTTACATAGTTTAAATGGAAGTGACGCCGGCCAGCTACTTTCCATAAAAATTGCAACTCAAACCCTTCAAATTAAAAGCGCAACTTTTAAATTGAAGATAGGAAACACTTCCAACTAACTGAGAAGGACACATTTTTCACAAGCAATCGATTGCTGAATCACCTCCAGTACGGTGAACAACTCAATATGCACATGATGTGAGAAACCTCAGTAGACTAATTATATCAAAGACTGTATTGCTTTCTATTTGACTTGAATAAAATGTATCAAAATGTAAAACCCAAAGCAGGAACATATACCAATGTCTTGCTTTGCCTAAAATAAGGACCTGTCACAGTGCCCATAAGCTTTTCAAGGACAGGACAGCATTGTTGGTACTTGAATCTGAATTGCCAGAAAAAGACGTCCATGTATCATTTCACACCAGAACTAATTTCATAGAGGGAAAACAAACAGATTTGGTATAAACAGACTAATCAGTGCTAATCAACCCATTAATTATTAGCTACTTATAAGTTATATCAAAAGTTTATTAGCTACACAGTAACCCAGCAGCCAACAATTTACATTTAAGCTAATGCTTTTGGGGTTACAACCAAATTGTGATGTAAAAGGAGCCTTCAAAGATAATGTTGGTACTCTTCATGTTCCAAATACTTAGAAATAAGTTATCAAATGAATTTTATTTAACGCTATATAATGGGGCATATTTACAGAGTTTTTCATACAGTAGACTAGGAGTGCAAATTGCTTCAGCGATGTTTTACTTGGAGTTTCGTGACCTTAGTTTTATAGTGAAGCTATATGACTTCTTGTGGATATCCAATACTTTTGACTGTTTTACATTCTAAATTATCGTGACTCGTGCTGAGAGGCAACGTCCTGCAAATATTGCTCCTCGTCTACACTTTAACTTCGACTATGTTGGTTTTAACTAGTGTATTTTTTGACTGGCAACTGAAAGGATTGTTTAAATTGAGTTGTTCGCATACGCATAACTGCAAAAATACGCTCTAGCATAGCTGCTCCCCTACACACACGTTTATGATCAATACAGTGAAAAAGTGGTGATGTATATTTTACCGTGGAGCTGGGAGTGTTGGTACCATATCCAGAAGAGGGCAACGACGCTAAAGACCATCGTCGTCCATCGGCCCTGCAGAATGGCAAACACAAATTGCACTTCATTTAATACCCACTGCACTGTAGTGCTATAAAATCAATATCACATAAGCTTCTCTGTTGTTTATTATTGATTTGACAAAAATCAAGATAATGAACCTGAAGTTTTAATTCAGCTGAAGAAAATCATGTTCTAGTGAGTTGCATTGTGACTCTGTAACTCAGATTCACAGTGAGAGGCAGGCAGACAGATCTGATAAATAAGGACAGAGGCTTTATAGGAGCCTCGACTTCCAACATGAGAGAGAGACGGAAGTAAATAACAGCCTAATTGGCCGCCTACATATATCTCTGCTGTTTGAACACGAGAGTGTGGATGGAGCCTCGTTGTTTTTAATACATACATACTATTACCTGATCATTATTCATAAACACAGCTGTAGTCACTCTAGCTTCTCTTAAACACACCTTTCAAGCTTCAGCAGAGTCTCATCATTGCTGCCTTTTGTATGGATTTCAAAATTCTCCTTTAAAGTTCTTTTGTGTTTAGGAAGTTAGCTAGTTAATGGCCAGTGCAATAATAACGATGTATAAAGCACACAAAAAGGAAACACAGTGGATGACGTGAGGCGTTGTATTTAGTGTAAGGTAAATAAGGATTGTTTTGACCTATGAATAATAAAAAGCTATTCAAGTAGGGTGTAAGAAGGAAAATATGCAACTGGAAATGAGCGTGACAGTTCCCCTTTATGAAAAGATAAAAGTGGCTGATTGTCTATGGTATGAGCACCTGCTGTTTAAAGTTGTGGAAACGAAGCAAACCCTGAGAGCGAGCTCAAGCACTTAACTCGTGTCTGCCTGTAGCATAAATGCAGCCATAAAAAGTGCATCTTGTAAATGCTGCACCTAAATCCCAGCTACACCCCCTGTCTGCATCGATCCCCGAGTTATTATAGTTTCATATTTTCTACTTTTATTTCATTTCTTTTTGTTCTGTATTCAGTTAAGTTTGAGTTAGCGTCCAGAGTGGGTTAGCTCGCTTCGGTTTAGGTTTTTTGAAAATGTCCAAGATCTAGGAACGTTAGTGCAGACGTCCAAAGTCGGAATAAATACATCCATCAAAGCCTCATCAGGCAAGCTGTATTTACATATTTTTAGCAAATTAACAAATACTAAAACTAAGGATACTTTTTAATATTTTAGTTATTATTTTAGTTTAGTTAGTTCTCCAAGTCTTCGGCTTCCTCCCACAGTCCAAATACATGCAGTTAGTGGGGACAGGTTAATTGATCAATCTAAATTGCCCATAGTGAATTTGAGTGCAAATGGTTGTCTGGTGTACCCCGCCTCTCGCCCTATCACTGCTGGGATAGGCTCCAGCTCCCCCCGCGACCCTGGATGGATGGATAGTTCTCCAAGTTCATAAAATAGTTAGCTAGTTTATATTTTTTCAAAAGTCACATTTTTATTTTAATTTCAGCTAACTACATTTTCCCCCATAACTAGTGTTAGTTTTTAGTGAAGTTTTAGTTAGCTATAATAACCTGGACTGTCCACCATGGGGCCTGACAGCCTGTAGCTGCTCTACTCCAAGACTTTGAAATACCTGATCTCAGGACCATAAACTCTCCTTCTATTTTTAAATCACATTTCAAAACCCATCTTCACATTCAGACTTCACACCCTTCATTATAACATAATTAAACAGCATTGTAGCCCATTGTTATCTTGATCAGTTTTAATCTGTGTTTTTGTTTGTTTCTTGTGTATGCAAGTTTAAATTACTGCACCAATATGAGGCGACATGGAGGGACTCGAAAGGGGCCTATAAATAAAATGTAGTATTATTATTATTGTCACTTCCCACTCTGTGACAACTCACAGCTCACAGGTTTAATAGTTCACTCAGTGCACTACAATACATAGTTAGCATTTTGATATTAAATATTTATACATATTACCAGATAATACTTACAACCATAGAATACATCTAACACTTTTCACACAATGCAGATTAGAGAGCTACAGTTGAAGACATATTTTCAAAATTAACAACTATTTTTGAAGCTTATGGCAAAAACAAATTACCACAAAAAAGTAGGATCAAATTACAGACTGTAGTGAACATGATCCACTTAAAGTATTTTTCTGTAGGACGATGTGATTCGTGACTAAAAGCATGCAGACATTTGAGCATTAAAATGAAACGTGATGCAATGAATCTGCTTCTAATCCTCTTATAACCTGCCATATGATTTCTGAATGTGACTACATGGATGCAGCCGTTGTTTCATGGCTCAAGGCCAAACAACTTATTTTCTGGACCTGCACCTCCCGAGAAAAAAAGGGCCTTCTTCTCTAAACTGTTGTGTTTGGAGTGAACTAGTGTTTATAATATTGTTACACGCTGTCTTTAGCCTAAAGACAAAAGCAACCACGTGAAGGCCTAAATCTAAAATCTATTAACATGAACAGATGTAGATGTGTGACACAGGCAACAAGCGTGACTAAACAGAGAGGAGCTGTGAATGTAATGGCCTGGCCCTGTCATACATGAGTCACCCTGTTACGCTGCGAGAACCTGCGAGTGCAGCGAGAGGCTCTCCAGAATGTGTGAGATCTCTCTCAACAACACATCTGCACCTCTTGTTCCACTGGAGCTCACACCTGCTCGGTGTCTCTCCCCTCTGTGACCTTTGCCTCACACCGACTCTTCTTATCTGTCTCTATCTCACTTTCTATCCCTCTCACACCTCTTGTGCAAATATGGCCGAGAGTAAACAGGTGCAATCACAGTCAGTGTGTAGTCTGCAGTGCCGGGAAGCAGTCACCTTCTGGAGGAGGCGAATGAGAAGTGGGCTGGGTTGCTGGGAGAGAAGTTTCGTGGGCTGTCCAGTGGGCTGCTTCCTGGTGGGACAACAAGACATGCACTGAGAATGAGACACAAAAGAACGGCACGAGTGTAGGAGAAGGTCAAAGTGGTAGTATGTCATGCCACTGTGCCTTTTATCCTGTGGCCAAGTCCCAACAGGAAATCCAGTGACGTGCTGTGAGGTGCAGACGCACAGCTGTCTCCCACTGCTCCTTTAGTTCAATATCACAGCATAACTACTCATAATAAGTAGGCAAAGCTTTTAGGAGTAAACCGATTTAAAACTTAATGTAAACTAAGATTTTTTTCTTAAACCTAAGGGCCTATCTTTGATCTTTAGTGAAACTCGACAGGGAACAAATGCGAGTTACATATATATCCAAATTTCAAAAATATTTCAGACAAAAACAGAATCAACCTCATATGGGAGCTGTGTTTTCACATTCAGCTCAGTAAACTTTGAGATCATTGTTGGAAATATACTGCTTTTTGTTGTTTTCTTGCTATGATGACGTGTTTAGTTTGCCATGAAGACGGAAAACACAAGGAAACAACTCGTCTAGAGAATTAAATGTGTAACTTCTTTACACTGACACCAAGTGGAAGTTAATTGATCTGGGACACTGAAGATCAAAATGGTACGTTGGCCCTGAGAGGCCAAACGGACTGCAACTTAAGAAAACACCAGCAATAAGAAAAACGCTGCAAAAGCACACAAAACACAACAGAAATAGGAAAAAAGAAAACACAGGATGTGTTAGCCTAACTATTAGCCTAAAAATCCGTCATCAGTATTATATGAATCATGATAAAACACATCTAGCTTGTTTTGGGTTCCTGCAACTGGTCTGTCGGGTTATTGTCTCCCCAAAAACACTTCCCTAGTGCCTTTGGAAATCTGTTTTTTCCTATTTCTGTTGTGTTTTATGTGCTTTTGAAGCGTTTTTCTTATTGTTGGTGTTTTCTTAAGTTGCAGTCCGTTTGGCCTCTCAGGGCCACCGAAAAATGGGCTTGATTTCACCCTCCATGTAAAATTACCATGACAACTTCAAAGGCTAATCATTTCACCTATTGACTGTATATAAAAAGTAGACATAAGCTCAGTGACATCAACATTAATTTATAAAATCGAGTTTTGATGTCTGAACATTACCAGTTTTGGCCTTCATATCTGTCTGTTTGTTTTTTTAAAGTAAATTTAGATGACACAGATGAGTGATAAAATTATGAGCTAATGCTAGCAAGCTTAGTTAGCAAGATGCATAAATTAAATGGGAGTAGCATGCAGACACAAAAACAATAATTATTTCTTCGTTATATACCACAAACAGTAGCAGGAATTAATCATTCTTATTTCTTCTGTAAAGCTGGACATGTTAACACAGAAGACTTTGACAACTGACTTGCTTTTGGCGCTGGCCTTAAGTGGACTTTATATTAAGCTAAGCTATCCTGTTACTAGCTCTAACTTAATTTTAACCATACAGACATGAGAGAGGGATCGATCTTCTAACTCTCTGCAGTGAAGTGAAAAAGAATAAAACTAAGAAACTGTAAACACATGATGAACCAGTAGAATAACCCTTTTTTGAGAGGTCGGAATATCTTCACCTATATTTTTGATCAAAATCAATTAAAATCAAGCTCACAGGGGAGGCGTTAGGGCTTTTGTTGTACATACCGAGGTGTCCAGGGAGGGGCAGAGGGGAGTGAGGCCGAGGGAGCGTGGGGGACGTGGTCGTCAGGATCAGACTTTTTCTGTTGCTTGTACGACAGCTGTTGAGAAAAAACAAGATGTAAATGTACTCACATCCACATTACCACAACAGAGTTGTGACTAAGCACTGTGTCTGTGCATAAATATATGCATGCACAGCTGTAACAGTGGATGGAAGAGAGGCGGACACGTGAAGCAGCTCACTGCAGGGGCGCGACGGCGATACAGAGAATTCAATTTCCTCAGCCATCCATCCCTGTCTGCCTCCCCTCAGCTAAGATAAGAAAGGAGGAGAGAGAGAGAGGGAGGGATTGCCAAAGTTGGAAGAGAGAGAGAGAGAGAGAGGCAACAAGCAGGATAAGAAGAGAGGATTTAGGTGATATTTCTAAAAAAAAAATTTAAAAACTGGAGAGAGAAATACTGCAAAAATGTCCACTTTTATGACCTCAGCTTACTACGGGTCTCTTAATAGCAGTCACTACCACACTGACTCATTTCAAACCTGCCTGTGGGTTCCTCATGTCACACATGATATCATTATCTCTAACTCTGCCATTAGGCAGTAAACAGAGCAAGTTGTTTGCTTTCACTAGATCCACTTATTTTGTCACAATCACACCGGAGCAGAGTAATTTAATTTTGACAAACACAAACCAAACAAACAAAAAAAAGCAATGTGCTTTTCAAGGTGGCATGAGCATGGGGCATGAATAAATGCAAATAAATACAACTGGGAACAAAACGCAAGCAGCACCATCTCATCTCTGCTGCTGCCAGATAAAGAGGAGAGCTGGTCTCCCCTCTCTTCCCTTTCAGCCCGCTGTCACATGGGGTCACATGTGAGGAGGAGAGGTGTCGCCTCTTCTCCCCCCCCCCCCCCCCCCCCTCCCTCTCTCTCTCTCTCTCTCTCTCACACACACACACACACACACACATATATGCAGATATAAGTGTGATATAAATATATAAAGCAAAAACAGCACCTTAATAAAGCAGCATTAGCAGGGTCACAGACTCAGAATGACTTTAGAATTTTTCCAGTTTTCATTATTGATGAAATCATTCATTGCAATTTATTTATAAACATAAATGGTGTCATATCTGATAACTGGTGATGTCAGAATGAGGTCACACAGGACTGTGACAGTATCTTTTCTGGTCACAACACTTTCCATCCATGCATCCATCCAACTTCCATCTTTTCTGATTTGCTGGGTTATATGAATAGTACACTCAAGATGGAGAACCAGAGGGCCTTAATTTAGCCCTAATCTCCCCAAAATAAATGTAAATTTGAACCACTATATTTGTACAAAAATCAGACCCACGATTCGTTTCAGTTGCATTAATGTCACTGACAATAAAGTGATACTGTAGTGTGGCACTATAGTTATTATTATCCTTGCTGTATAGGTTGGTCCAAACCTATTACTTACTGTAATAGATAACCATAGGTATACAATAGGTAACAGGAAGGTTCCAGCACTTTCTGTGAGTCTATGCAAGAGGAAGCTTTAACATCTGCACAACCAACCCCACAAACACACTATGTGAAAGCCCTCCAAACCCTAGGAATATTATCACCCAACCATACTGAATGATTAAATAAAATAGAAGCTTTATCTTTGCTAATGTGTTTATGAATACAAATTACAATCGTATTTATTTTGGTACACAACTTTATGGAGGCAGTGCATGCAGTGGGAGGAGGTCTGGGCTAATTTTATAGAAAATCCAATCTCATTTATGTTATATGGCCAATGAACGACCATTCATTTCATCCACAATAAACTTGGTGTGTGTACTGCTGGGAAACCTGAGTGATTGGAGTGTCGGGTTTAAGGTCATTTGGATGAAGGGCAGGCTCATTTTGCTAGCAGATAGCAGACTGATATAAATCTAAAAAGCTGCCTTGATTTGAACTCATAAATTTCCATCTACTGTCAAGCTGTCAAGTGACAGTTTTCAGTGTTGGACTTTTATGTAAAGCCAAGCCTAACCTGCGCAGAACTAATGATAAGGAGCTGTGACTGCATGTTTGTCCATTCCTGGTCACACTTTCCACATTCCTAAGTGGATCTGCTGACATCAGGCATCCTTCCACTGCTACAGTGACTTTGCAGAATACATTATTTGCTCATGTTGAATAAACATATTTATATTCATTCAGTGAAGTTAAGTCTGATGGTGACTCTGCGATATGTCTCTGTAGAGTAATGTAAAAGGCTCACATTTCTGAGCAAGCTCCATCTTATCTCACCTATCTGTTTTCATTACCTGAATGCTGATCGATCAGCTGTGTAAGTAGCTTCTCGGATATTGATCACATATGCCAATAGACTGAATTGATAACCGCTATTTTGCCATTTCACACTTTCTAACCTGGACTGATTGTATCTCGATAATCACATTAAAGCTCTCGCTGTGACACACACCGTGACCTTGAGCTGATCCCAGCAAGGGACCATCTCAGCGAGTGCATGCATGTATTTTAAGTCAAACCCAGTGTATGATTATAGTTTCAGGCTTTCATTAAGATGATTGCTACAAGATTAATATAAAGACAAACTCGGCAGCAGGACTGCACATGGTTAATGAATTCTCAGTGCTGCAGGAAATCAATGGAGGCTGGGTGTAAACACACAGCACTTGGCCTTGAGCTTCTTCTGGTACAGTTCATGAAATAAATGCTTTAAGCATGCAGAACCTTATTTAATACACATCCAGCGATTCTGTCTTGTGGCATTGCTTATGCAGAAAACAGAGGCTTTTTTTCCCATTCCTGGATGGTCAATCAGGATCAAAGAGGGGTGGGAGGAAAGGGTGAGGTGCACTCCAATACACTTAGCAAATATGGGCTGCACTAGCCAGTGGCTCAAGAGAGGGTGGAGGGGAGGGGGTGGTTAAGGAATGGATGCTGCAGCAAGAAAGGAGATGCACAGAGCGAGAGAGAGAGAGATGGAGGGGCTAGCTGGAACAAGCATGACATTAAAGTAAAATAAGGGAAAGGGAACGCCTCGGGAAACGAGTTGACTGCAAATTCAATAGAAGAAAAACAAGAGTTAGATGCAGGGAGGGTTGAAAGGGCTCACAGGGGTGCTCATTACCCACACACATGGTAGATATGACCCAGTTTTTTTAAACCATTTTACACACACACATACACAGTCTACATATATTCGTAGCATGAACAGAGCACGTGAGGAACATTGTGAGCAGATCATACAGAATAGAGTGTGACAAAACCAAACAAACAAACACTCTCTATCCACCGCTGCTTCATATTGATGAAACCACACCATTCGTATGAGATTCTACAAATGTTAAATAGAAGCAGATCTGAGGCGCTGGTGAAGAAGAAGACAGTCCAGAAAAGTCAGGATTTAAGTGGTAGAGGAATGTATTGCTGATGAAGCGCTAGGGAGAGCTAACCTTTAGAGCATTAGGAGGTAAATAATGAAGGGATGATTCAGAGAAAAGGAGGAAATGGGATGATGACATTTTATTTTTCTTTATGAACCATTTAATGGCTTAAGACAAATGAAGATTCAGATTTCTGTTACTAAGTTACTGAGGTTGTAGCTTAATAACTCTAGAGGGAATGTGGTGGAGAGGAGGGAGTCATGGTCACATGATGGGTTGTTGCTACGCAGCCTGCAGCAGAGAGATATAAGATAAGACCAAGTCGGGACCACAGAGAGGAAGAAGAAAAGGGGGGGAAAAGCCACTGAAGTTCACTGCTTTATGGTGAAGGGAGGGAGAGTGAAATAAGAGTCTGGGCAAACAAAGAAGTAAGCTGTAAAAGGAAATTAAGCAATAGGGACTTAGTAATAAAAGTGGCCTTCCTAAAATGGTTGGAATGAAAATGATGAAACAGAAAGAGCTCTGTAACTTTTTTTCCGCAGCACTATGAGGTGGGGGATAACTCAGGGGAGAGAACCACAGCCTCACCACAAAAATATAAAGTAAATGTAAAAAATGAATAAAAATGTCATACATACAACCAAACCATATGTAACCGGTGTGTTTCTGCATTGTGTCTGACAAAGAAAGGTAAAAGAAAGAAAGACCTCCAAGTAAATAACTAGCTCACTCCAGCTCCTCTCCCACAGGGGAATTGTAGAAAAGGGCTGCATTTATTTTTACATTAAACATGAAGTACGAACTTACCTGGAAGATATTTGACATAAGATTAAAAAAAACTCAGACATACCTGACAAAGAAAGGTAAAAGAAAGAAAGACCTCCAAGTAAATAATTTGCTCGCTCCAGCTCCTCTGACCAAATACAAACAGTGGGGGAGAGGATTAGCTCAACCCACCACAACTCCCAAGCTAGCCAGAATTATATATTCATGCTAGCATTAATGGCGCCTAAAACACATTTGTGGCACACACATACTACACATTTCTAACATCTAACAAAAACAGGCACAATGATGACAATAATTGAACTAAAGACACACAATCAGAAATATCATGGTGGCTAAATATACATTATATGTGTGTTGTACAGTGTCTGGAAAGAAATGACACCAACCTCTTCCACAGGGGAATTGTAGAAAAGGGTAGAGGCCAAAAGGGTACACTGTATTTATAGGGTTGCACCAAAGAAGAAGAAGAACAATGATGAGGGGCTCCAACTGATAAAGAACATAACTACAGGCTTGAAGGTCCTAACAATCAGGTATAAACTGGAAAATAAAATTTGTGTAATTATAACAATATGTAATTTATGGCCGGGTTACACATACAAGCAAATATAAAATGATTACAACATCTGGGAGGTGATCTCTCTATCGAAATACAAAATCTCACTGAGTAACTCTTAAAGCTTCTTCGTCTGGCTGCTGCTAACAAATGATTTGTGATAAATGACTCGGCTGAATCTGTGCCAAAGGAGGGTGAAACAGCAGGTTTTTGGTCTTCAAAGCTAATCTACAGAGAGCCGCTTCACTCCCTATTAATGCTGCTTTACAGCTACAGTGCACTTCTCTCATCACTAAACAGCTAATATTTCATATATCATGTATAATATATCATCTGCTTCCAGACAAGAGAAGCCAAAAGTAGAAACAAAAAGCACAAAATTCATACCAGTGCTCTGAACGAATTTTAACCACATAAACATAGTTTTGTGACAGGGTAATCTATTTTCCCCATAAAACTAGCCTTCTGCTGATGCATGTCAGCCTATAAAACAAGGAGCTTGTTATGGTGACTCAAAGTGATTGTTCTCATATCGCTTATGTCAATCCTGACTGGTCCGTCTTTATAGAAAGGCATTTTTCTACATTTAAAGCAGCATAAAAAACCTTAAAATCAAACTATATCTACTATTTCAATCCAACATGTCCCTCATATGTTTATGGCCTGAGTAAATAATAAAGTCTTAGACAGAAAAATCAAACACTGTAGAGGAGGGCATGCTTTAAACTGGGGCTCCCTTGTGTCTGACTTACTGCTACTATGTGAGCGTGCATTTACAGCCACCCTTGCATGTAATGTCTGTTTAAGGAAAATGAATAATGGAAACAGTCAAAACACTTAACTCAAGGCTTCAAACTTCACTAACCAAGCTACGAAACAGGAAACTGAGATTGCGAATCCTCCCCTATTTAGACAGTAACTGAGATCCTGCCTGTGTTAGAGCAGATACACATACAGTTAAATCCAGTCCTTATAATTTATGTTCTTTTGTTAATTGCTATGGAAAAGTTGTAAGACATTCTATGACTTTATATAGTTACTAAATTATGACTGGAAAACCACCATTGGGTCAAAGGGGACTCGTGAAAATCAGACAGAAGAAGGAAAATTCCCACAACAAGGAGCTAGGAAATTGGTATTAAGTTACCATTAATCGTGATTCATTTAGCTGTGTAAGCAATTAATCCTATTATCTCTGCAGTAAGATTAGGGTATGACATCAGGCTTTATTAAATACAGTAGATAGAGTGGGTTTTGTGCAGGATATGGACAGAGTGTATTGATCGTTTTCCTCCATCTAAACTGTAAGTAGGTAGGTCTGGCAGTATTGTCCATTTGGCCACATGACCAGCAGTAAAAAGGCAAGGACAGACAGTAAAATGGTCATGGAGACAGCCTGGGGCAAAACACTGTCCTCACGCGGCTCCATCAAATCTCCACTCAGCTACACCAAGCATTGTGCTAAATGTCAAAAGCACTGCCTCATTGAATGCACCATGGCCAAGAGAAAAGTCAAACAGACACCATCATTCTTATTTTTCCTTTTTTTTCCATTTCCGGTTTTCCTCGGCTCTCCGGGGTCCCAAAGCTCCCTGACAGGAATTCAAAGCCCATCAGCAAGGATGAAACACTCTTATATATATTTTTTTTGTTTTGTTTACTCTAACAGGTTCAAATCTTTTCTAGTCGGTCTGCAGTAGTACAGAGCAGCAGACAGGAGCAGGATCTATCAAGCAAGATTTCTGTAAGAGGAGCCCTGAGAGGGAGACAGTGGAGGGGGAAAAGGATCAAAGGCTGTAAGAGTCCCATTACTCTAACACTAAAGGAAAGAGTGCCCTTCACTGAAAGCAGGGCTTAATAGGAGATATACTTGTATGAGCTTGTAGGTATTGAACTTTAGGTTCCTCTTGGGGGTAAACTGCATCACGCACTCTACAGTCAGACCCAGGTGCCTCAGCCTCCCACGGACCTCCTTTGGTTTGCACATAATTGGTTAAGTGACGCGTAATGGTTTATTTAGTTACAGAGGAGACGTGTTTATGAGGAGAAGATGGGGGTATGGCTGGCAGCATGGTGGTGTGTGGAGAGGACACAATATGTGTGTGTCTCAAAGCTGTGTAATGTGGACGCACATGCACCGGGTGTGATTATGTCTTTCTGTTTGTGAGAGCACCTGAGCCACAGCACCCGAGGTAAACATGCACAACACTCACCAATTACTGCACATCATCTTCACTCACTTCTCTCTGACCTCTAGCGCCTGATGCCTGTAACACTGGGTCTTGCTACACTACATATGTCAGGACAGTAATAAAAGTAATGGAGACCTTTTATATGAGAATACTTCAAACCGTAGATTCTTCATCTTTGGGGGCAGGAAAAGAAATTTTACAGAAACCTTGAGAGATCTGCTATGTCTGCATATGGCGGTTATATTATGGTTGGGCATTTCCAATGTTTAGCTGTAGAGAAAGCATCCTGACTCCTGACATCCTAAAAATCACCCACTTAACCTATGTTCCCAAAAAGCTGTGTCTAGCAGTCAAAAGGTACGGGCACTATTACCATCACTGAGTAGAGAGAACAATACATTGTTACAATTCATGCACTGCACAAGTAAGTATACATAAGTGTACTACATAAAAAGAATATAAATCGACTATCACACCACACCACTTTACATTACAGGGCCTTTATCATCACAGAAAGAAGTCAGGTCCCCTAATGCAACCAACACATATTCTCACGTCCCCATGACATGAGAACAACACATGCACGCTTAACTTTGTTTATTATTATTTAAGATGTGTCAGAAAGTAAGCACGGGCCAAAATGTCCTCACTTTCCAAAAATGTCCCCACTTCCAAGGTCTAAAATGCAGGTCCCCACAAATACAGCCATTCAAGTACACTTATACACACATGAATAAAGAAAAACCAAAATTTCAATCTGAAGAAACTGTTTTTTCCTTACTTAACATGCCCCATGTACGACCAGAATAAGTGCATGTCAGGGAGATGAAAAAGAAATAAAGAGCGAGTGAGAGAGGACAGTCAAAGCTAGTATGAATCTCTAACGCGCTCACGTAACCTTAGTGAGCTGGTCCCTAATGGACGAGCAGACACAGATATCACCCCAGGGCCCTGCATGCTATCTCAGTCTCTCCCCCTTTCACCTCTTGCACAACCTCTTTCTTTTTCAACCTCCATCGCTTTCCTTGTCTTAATCACCCAATGCCTTTCTTCCGTCTTTGCTGACTGGGATTTTCTTTCAGTATCTCGTTGCTTTAGTCCCTCAGAAATATGTTTTTAAGGGAAGTGTTTAAAAGTGTCGTGTTCCGATCATTCTTCATTAACTAAATCCACGCGCTAGGCTTCAGTATCACTGCAGGAGTGTGGCAGATACTAAAATGGCGAGACTTTGGCATATTCCCATCTGTCTGCCTGTGCGTCTGGGCTCAGGTGGGCCATAGCAAGAGTCTATTCTCTTCTGTAATAGAAGCTATTTTAATCCCTGATCAGGAATGGAGAATAAAGTCACTAAGCGAGTCAGTATGACCTCCACTGCTGCTGTTACTAAAGAGAAAACCCCCAGTGCCCAAATGTCACCTCACTTTGTCAGGTTGTTGACAATGGAGTGATTAAAAGTATCTATTAAGCACGAGTTGTATTATGGCTCGGACTATTAATTCAGAAAATGTGATAATGACATTATTCTTTATAGTTGCACTTTTCAGCTGCTGTGTTTCACAATATAATTGCAGCTGAAATGAAAGTAAAAACGCCTGACAGGAAGTCAATATCTTACAAAGAACACTTTCCCCAAATAACCAACCCAGTCATCCAAGTCCAGAGAAATACCTCAGCATCGGTGAATCACAGTCTATAAAAATCCATTTTAAACGTAGGGTTCTGCTTGACTCATTTTTGGCTCATATAATTATTGACTGATTACTTCAAATGTGAATCGGTCTACTTGCTGTGCTTCTAGAAATGTCACTGTGATGAGTCACTGATACAACTTTTCAACTTATCTTTTGCCAGGGTCTAAATCTTTAGTGAGGGCCTTATATACAATATATATGTCAAGATGTCAAGAGTCAGGATTCTTACTAACTTTTCATTTTCAGTAGATCCGTGATGCTTTGGCCATCCCCAACAAGAAGACAGATGCATTATTATTTTTTGATAATAATATTTCACTACTAGCTTTTCCTCAAAAGGCACAGATAAAAAAAGTGAACGCATGTGTCAGGTCTCCGCTGAAGCAGCTGGATCATTTTAGATGGTTCAGCATTAAATTAATTGGACTGATTATCACTTCAACAGCAAACCATAAAAGCATCTCATGCAACTTTTAATTTTTACATTGCCTCTAATGGCAACATTTTATAAACTGAACTCCATGCAGGCTACCTTCAGTAAGAGCAGTTTTTAAATCAGAGTAGAGGTTATCTGTATACTGCAGAAACTGTAGGAAAGAGGAAAAAGGACAGGAGATTAAACAGATAGCCGGTCCTACCACACCCTACATCACAGAAACTGAATCGTCTCTGCTCTGTCTCGAGCCTCTCGGTGTACCTTTTAGTGCGTCGGAACATATTGCTTGTATTTCGGTGTAGTTGAAAGCTGGGCGATGAGAAGTCAGAAAGCAGCAGGTCTCTGGCAAAATGCTATCGCAATGCAACGCATACTGTGGCTCCCACCACCTTTAGAGGTGCGCTGGTGTCTGTGTGTCTGGGCAAGTGTGCAAGAGAACCAAAGGAGAGAGAGAGGGAGAGAGAGAGGGAGCACAGCACAGAGGGAGGGATGCAGGGAGGAAGGGTGGGTCTCTCTTTTAGAAAGGAACAACAAAAGGCGGCAGGGGATTATGGGTCATTTTCTCAAGGCTGAGGTGCCATAGTACACAATGTGGTTTTATGAGTTACTTGTGCTTCTGTTTTGTGTTTTCCTCTGAAGTCGATGGGAAATTAAAAGCTTTAACTGCAGGCTGTTTATTCCATAAATGAAGGAAGGAGAGTACAGGCAGGTTAATTTATCTCAGCAGCAACTAAAGAAATGACCAAAGGACAAGGACATGTGGACAGTTACATAAGTAAAAAAACAATTTGAATGGGATCAAAAAGCGGAGCTAATGTTGATGTAGTATGCCAGACGTGCATACACACACACAAACTATCAATGGCTGTGTTTACCCATGAATGGTTGCAGTAGGCAGATTGAATTTGAAGCCAACTCCAGTGAGCTCATCTATAATACATAGTGGGTTGGTGGTGTCCTGCAGAGGCAAATGGGATGTGATGCAGAGGAGACAGTGACAGACTGAATTCAGATGGTAAAATAAGGGAGAGGAGGTGGAAAAGATGAGATGGTTGAAGAAAATGGTCTGGAAACAAACAGAGTCGGGAACAGGATCCCTGCCATCATTTCATGTGTGATTACCCATGGTGACTTGGGATGGCTTGAGTGTAGATGGGAGTGGGCACAAGAGACTGTTGACAGGTCAGTGCGACAATACATAAAAGATGATGTAACCACGGTGATAGCACCCACTGGTTTGTGGTTTCTCATTTTAAAGCTTTATAGTTTTCTATTTCTTTTGTTTTTTAGTTAAAGCTAGCCTGCTAACTCATCAGCTAGTACAAACTTCAGTAAGACACACATAAAAATGCACAGGTGTGCTACACAGACACGAACACCTTCTAATTATTTATGTAATACAAAAAAATTACAAACCAGAATTTAATTCAGCAAAACCGAAACACAGACTTCTTGGACGGGCTCTTGGCAAAAATGTGACCCACATATGCAGTTTTCTATGAGCCACATATGGCCTTGACTGATGGTGTTGACTCAGCTTGAGTCTGGCTGCCGCAACTCAGCTGCCAGCTTACAATACGAGGGACAGATGTCAAGTATGTTGTGACATTTGGGCCAAATCTGCCCCACCCAGAACCTGCCTTGCTGTGTGTCAAGCATGACTCATGACTTTCTGGCTTGCCCACGTAAACATTCACCACAGGCCCAAATATGTCTGCTACTGGGAAAGCAAGCTATGTTATCTATCAGACACTTAAATTAATCAAAAGTACACCAAAAAGCACAAATACAGTTGGATGGTCCAGTGACTGATTGTGTTGTGTTTTGTGCTCTTGGTGTTTCTCTGTCTAGGTATGCTTTTACTGTATTGCCAGTGTGTGTTTGGGATCACTGTCATACTGAAAGATGAAGCTGTTGCCAATCAGACACTAATGGTACTGCATGTTGGATCATTTTTCATCACTTTTCTGCATTCAAAATTTCATCAGTTTTGAGAAGATCTTCCAACACAACTTACTGAAATGCAGCCCCAAACCATGATGGAGCCTCCATTATCCTGACCTCCTCTGTATATACTGACAATGATTTTAACCAAATGTGGATTCATCAGACCAGCTGTCACTGATTGTCCATCCAGTTGTTGTGTAATTTGCCAAATCTAAGCCCTTTCTTCCTATTTTCCTTTCTTAAAAATGGCTTTTGACAGCCATTCCACCTTTCTACTAAGATCATTTCTGATGATGCTTCATTGAACAGAAGATGGATCAACTGAAGTATCTCTCCAGTCCTGTGCCAGATTTGTTCCTATTTCTTAAGGACATGACTTTCAGACACTATTCGTTTAGTTTTTTTTGGCCTGTCACTTCTTTTCCTCTCTATTTGTCCAGTTTCCTCAGATTTTTTTAAGGACACACTGCATCCCTTGTTCTCGGCTATTAGCATTTTGGGAACCAGCTTGCTGGTGCAGAAATACTATTTTATGCCTGCAGAGCTGTGTTATCTTCAGCATATTTTATATATTCAACTAAGAAAGAAATAGAAACAAATTATGTGCTTTTATGACAAGTTGGGACAAAATGGCTTTAAAATAGATTATCTGCTAAATTGTCTGTGATGTTTATTAGTGACTTAACAAACTTCTTCTAAAATCTCCTAAAAATGGTCAGATACAAGAACTGGACTGACAGTGAGTGAAAAAGTAGCCAATGAATCAAGAAAAACTTTGAACCTTCAGAAAGTGTGGAGACTACTCCACACTTCTCACAAGGAAAGGGTAGTCTGGACCTGTCCGAAAAAATAATCATCAGCACAATGCTTAAACTTGTATTAACTATTTTTTTTTATGTTTCTGTCACATAACAACTTTGAGCTGCTCCCTTCTCACAGGGGTTTGCCACAGCAGGTAGCCCTGCATATTTGATTTGCCAGACCTTTACATCGGATACCCTTCCTGACGCAAGCCCAAAAGTAATTTGTGTCTCCAGTGACCGTTTTCTCAAACAGGTCACTCGTCACTGGTAAACCACCCTTGATTTAAAATCTTTGGCTCTTTAACTGTAGTCCATTAAACAGTATAATATTTCAACCAAATACTTAATAAATGTGCCTACTTTATGCAGATAGCAAAATTTGACAATTTGGAACAAGTTGGAGAATGCGGCATGGCTTTCAGCACCATGGACAGCGCCGGGAGCTCCCAACTGGCCTAATAAGGCTTCCACACACTCCAGCATTACTTCAGGAGACCTCATCCTCCTCTTTCACACAAGAAATCCACACTCCACACCCTGAGCACTACTGAAGCATCCTCATAGCTTTCAGACAGAATGTGAAAAGCATGCTTGTGATCCCAGAGAGCTTCCCAGCCTCATGTACGCTCGGGAAGAGAGGCTTTGATAAACAAGATGTACCGCAGCTTGGTATGATTGTTTTTTTGTCCATGAAGAACATTGTGCTTTCCCCAGGGAGTGGATGGGTGGTAGAGAGAGAGGGATAGAGAGAAGAAAGGAAGGGTTAAACAAAGGTAACACTCACCTGCTGTTTTTGCGAGGCAGTGGCAAATCCTTCTGGTAGAAACACAAAGAAAAGGACAAAAAGAGAGATCAGGTACAGAAAATAGAAACATACTCTTTCTTATGAGATATTGCGAAATTTGGGGAGAGCATAAATAAAACATCACATGAGCACAGTAGCAGGCGCACCTTTTGAGCGTGTTCAGAAACATGGCTTGTTATTGTGGTAGGGGTTCACATCGGTTTCTATATCCTGAGTATAATAAAGCTCTGGTCCTGGAGAAGTTTGATAACAATTAGTTCATCACCTTATCCCGATTCATTTCATTTTGTGTGTGCATGTTTCACAGTTAATTTTTGCCTGTGTTTTCAAACTACTCCTGCTATTTTCTGAAACTATGGCAACTGCTCCATCCCACCCTCCACCCCCCACCTCCCAGGTCCAGATGGACAGGAACACTGGGCTGAGACGGCAGCAGACACCAACTGCACCACACACAAAAAAAAACCCAGCATGAGCATAAGCAGATCTCACACCAGCACAGCCTGGATCTTTACAAACCCTTCACATGAAACTAGAGGAGGACAGAGAGGAGACAGAGAGTTTAAACAAGCGGCAGAGAGGTGGGTGAGAGGTGGATGGTACCGTGGGGAAACATGCTTTTATGCTTGCAACCTTATCTTGGAGTCTTCTGGACTTCAGCTCTGTGTGTCTTTGTGTGCGTCATACAAGATATGGTGCTTGAGAGTCAGATATGAGATACTACTCAGTGTTTGGAAATGGATGCAATTAATGCATTAGCAGCTTCACACATGCTCCTGTCACACACAGGGTAAAGTTGTTAAGGTGCTGTTAGCATAAAATTGACCACCTGCTGACCACAGTCAATGTAATTATTGAGTTAACCTTCAAATAAAGGTTGAACGAATGGATGGGGATGTGCAGACCTGCTCCTACTGATATATGCCAGAACACATTTTTACATTGCTGCTGCCTGAGAGCCCCAGCCACTATTCACAAGGTTAAGCCTATGACACAGATGATAATTGTCAAGCCAAATGGAAAACTCTTAGTTAAACAGAGAGCACTAAACTGGTCCTCTCCTCATCTCAGGATCAGACACACGATGCAGGCTGCACGGCTGTTCGACAGAATGTCCCGAGGGTTTACACGTTAACAAATCCGACTAAATATTCAGCTCATTGATCCCTTTTTCACTTTGTCCTTCATTGATCAGGCTAATTGACCCTGAGTTGTCAGATGAAAAGAGAGATGACTTTGTAAGTCATCTGCGATGTGGGGGGGTTACCTATACAGAGAAGCCCTAACTACACTTGACATCTAATGTTGCTGCAGAGTAGCAATTTAATCCAGAGGAAATGACCACATAAAAACTCTTTACAAGCTGCAAGGTGCTGTATTTTAGTGACAGTGAAGCTGAGTCCAGGGTCCACCAGTGTAATACCTTTTCCCTGGAGATTCAAAGTGGCAACGTAGATGCTAATCTCACTATTTAGGTCTGCTTTTTTATTCTAAGGTAAAATATCACCTTCAATTTTTGTGAAAATTTTCTGGATGGATTTGAATGACTTGGTGAGCCCTCATCAATTCTAATCACTTGTCTTTCATATAGTAACAGCATCAGGTCAAAATTTAAACTGAGCAGAATTTAGCATGCTAATGTGCTAAGCTAAAACAATTAAGGCTTTGTCCATACTGGGAGGGAATAAAACGGATGGACATTAATGAACGTTCTGCAACTTGAGGCATGAAATTAACTTTTCTTAGCTACCTGGTGAAGTGACTACCAATATACTGAATAATACTGTTGACTGGCATATGGCTGATAGTAAATACATTACAGGGTGCCTAGGCATCCAGAATCTATAATGCCTGCAAAAGATTGTTTGGTAGCTTCACTTCGTGTGAAAAGCGGGTCGCTTCCAGTTTAGATGCAGCTTAACATATTAAACGTTTCACTTGCTAAACATCAGCCTGTTAGCATTATCACTGTTAGCATGTTAACGGGCGTCGACACAGGGGGAGAACAGTATTGATATAGTGAGCAGGACGCCTGGATGTCAATGGAATTCAGTGGCTTGTAGTGACAACTAACCTATAGTAAAGAAATAACCTATAGTAACAGTAAGTGGGTACTAAGGTCAAAATATTTCAACTTTGAGGTGAGTAATTCAAACAACTACAACGGCAGTAATGAAAACCATTATTTAAAATATCTCCAAAATTTTATATTAGCCAAGCCGTCTACAACTTTCCTCTCCAGCTACCTTAGAAGATTTCACCTTAAAGTTTTTTACATCTTAGAGGGAAGGGGTCCCTTTATACGATTTATTTGTAAGTAACTGCAAAGAATCATCTGATATTATACTCCATGCATGGAAGGCAGATTTGAAAGATGATTTACCTGATGAAGAATGGTTACAAGCATGCTTTAGTTCAGTCCCAAAGGGTAATTTTATATTCTAAATTACTGCATTATGAATGACTCAAACAGGCAAACAGACAAATAGACATGTTAGCTTAGTGCGCTAACGGAGCCAAATTTGCAGAGCTGGTGATAGCATGCCAAAGAGCAGAATAGCCCCTAAATCTCTTGATTTTCACTTAAGATAAATCAATGAATCACACTTTCTCGAAGTGACATCTTGAAATGTCAGTCCAAGACCCCAAAACAATCAGGTAACAATGATCTAGGTAGCAGCTGTGACTGACTAGGCCAGATCAGACCACCATCTTGCTGAAAATATAAATCCTCAAACAGGACGAGATGTAACATGCACAGGCTAAGAGTTTTATTTTCAAAATGTTTCAAACAAACACGTGCTCAGAATAGCTGAGAACGAATTAATTAACGAACCATTCAACCACGTATGACCTCAGTGTTCTCAGTGACATTCACTGCAGCAAATCACCAAAATGTTGCAAATTAGCTTGAACTATTTATGGATAGTAGGGACGTCTGCTAAAGAAGCAGAAATAGTTCAGCAGCAACAAGAATAAAGTCCAAATGTAACAGAGGAGCAGAGAGGACTACACCTCTTTTGTTCAAGCATGCCTAGACAAAAAGAACCAGCTGGCACACTAAACAAAGTACAGCCATCTATTCATGTCTGAGAGAAAAAAACTGGCACCATGAATATCTTTTGCTGCTTTTCAGAATTATACCTGGGAGTCCAAACTGTGGAGTGAATCTGCAGGTCTGTAGATGATAATTATTCAATCTTTGAATGAAACGGCCTTTATTAACCTCAGAAAATCCAATCAAATAGTTCTTTGTCACCTTCACTTACATTCCGTAATTCTTAGGCATTGCTGTCACATCGTATCTACCTGAATTCCCTTCTTAATCCTCAATTCCATTTTAATCTGTTAAAAGGTTACAAGGTGATGAATTGACTTCCTAATTCCAGTCTCTGCTTCATCAGTGACCAGTGTGCCAGAACACAAGCGCACCACTATGCGCCGAAATCGACCTGTGACTCCTAACTGCAGCATTTCCAGAAGATAATATGTTGTTAAGGAAACATGATCCTCACTCCGATCTGAAGCCTGTGCCTTAATTCTCCTGTGGCATAATTAGTTTGATGCAAGGCTTACTGCTCATTGCATGGTTGCGTTTTCTACGTCAGAGGCTGATTTAAAAGCCACCGTCCGAGGCTGATGTTCAAACTAAACGCTCCCCGAGTCCCGCTAATGAAGTCTGGCGGTGGTGAGCAGTGACTGACAACAGATGGGAGGCTCTGTCACAAACATGTCATGCTCACCAATCACAGATTAGAAAGCTACACAATCCCGTGCTGTATTTGCTGGCTTCTTAAACAGGAGCGACTACACTGTTATTATCCAGGTTTGGGTGCATCCTCTAGGGAACGAAAGGGAAGTTTGAGCTTATGAATGACTGTCTGATCCCCTTTAGTCCCAGGATGTCACACAGTTGACAAGACAGTATGGGAGTCTGTGTTTCAGGACTTTGTATCTATGAATATTTAGATGCAGGGCAATTGTGCCACTGTCTTGTAACAACTGTGGTTTATGCACAATCATTTTGCATTTAGATTAATGCTGGGCTGTTTAATATCTAACCTGCAGAGAACCTGCTTTCACAGTCCAGGCCTGTTTTATTGTTGTTTTTTAAATTTCTCTGTGTTTTTCACAGCTCAGGGCTAAAATGTGCAGGGATGTTCAAATTTGTGTTCTTTTTAAAATTATGTTGGATGCTGCTGTTTCATTAAGCTACAGCCAGTCAGGGGCGAGCATCCTGATGCAGGCAGTAAACAACAAAGACTTGAAAGGCCAGTGAATTTTGTCTCCTGGTACACACACTGGCTGCTCATGTAACTCAGCCATAAAATATGCCTTTGCTGTAGTGTCCTTCAAGTCATATTGGCTGCACTACAATTTTTTTAAAGGCCTCAGTGATAATGAAATGGCATTAGTTGAGCCGCATGCCTGTAAAGCACATTGCTGCTCGGTGGGGATGCGCCAGCAAGTTCAATCATTTTGTAGACACTGCAAAGAAAAATGGTGGTGAGCCGGGCAGGGGAGGAACAACAGGGATCAATCAAGGGATGTCATGCTGCTAGGAGACAGTGCCCGGACCTGCCATTGTCTACAGCAGTGACTGACTCACAGATATGAGGCTGACAAAAAGGCAGAGCGGCTGAGGACGAGGCATGCCAAGCATAAGAAAAGATGGTCTGGTGATTTGTGAAAACAACAAGACTGAATAAAAAATGACATGTAAAAAAAAGATATTAAATATATTGTTTGTTTGTTTTTTACATTAGGGTTATATGATAGTGTAAGAAGCTGGTCTAAGAAAAACGTATTGTAGGGGTGTAACATTGTGATATATATATAAAGGAGAAGTAGAAGAAAGTGCTTTCGGTTGCTCCCCTTGTCAGATGGGGTCACCACAGAGAGTAGCTCAACATGTTTCATTTGGCAGTTTTACACCGGATGCCCTTTCTGACACAACCCCAAAGGGGATTTGTAGATCTGGCTGGAATTGAACCAGCAACCTTTCACTTGCCAACTGAATGTGTTAACCACTTCAGGGGATGGTCTGAGTATTCCAAAAGCTGCTGATCTACTGGGATTTTCCCACACAACCATCTGTAGGGTTTATAGAGGATGGTCTGAGAAAGAGAAAATATCTCTTTAGCAGCAGTTTTCTTGTTGATGTCAGAGGTCAGAGGAGAATGGACGGATTACTTCAAGCTGATAGGAAGACAATAGTATCACAAATTATGATTCAGTAGAACCAAGGTATGTAGGCAAGCCTTGAAGTGAATGAGCTAGAGCAGCAGCAAAAACCACACTGAGTGCCGCTCCTGTCAGCTTCAAACAGGAAACTGAGGCCACAGTTTGGGCTCACCAAAAACTGCACAATAGAACAATTAGTACCAGCTAAGCACTTTTTAATTACCACAGTCTACTTGCTGACCTTTATGACCACAGTGTGATCGTCTTCTAATGGGTGCTTGTCATCTTATTCTGGTTTCTTGAACATGGCAACGTTGATACAATGGCAGCCTAGCTTCTTCTTAATGATTGCTAAAGTATCGTTTGATCAAGTCATGCAACACAGATATTTTACACAGGAAACAGCTGCAAAGGAGGAGTGAGAAAACCAGTTCAGCCAGTTCAACATCATCAAAAACATTCATTTCAGTTAAGCCGTGAGTACTGCAAAACGTTGTTCTGTACTGTAGTTGTGGAATGATTATAGTTACTATTCCTTCAAACAAACAAACAAACAGACCAAAAAATGTGGAAATTACAAATTTCAGTTTGTTTTGTAGCTATTTCACACATCTCTGATGAACCAGGCTTTTTTTTTTTGACATATCTTCTGCGTGTTTGCCAGCAAGCCTATTGGAGGTTGTAGTGTCAGAGAGGAGCCAGCATAACGAGGAGCAAAGATCGTGGGGTTTTTTCATGTTTGCCGTGTTGAAGCGATGCATCACGGGTGTGACCCCTGACTGCAACTGCAGGGGAGTGGGGCGTGTCACCATATGGTGCTGAGAGAATGATTGTGTGTGTCTGTGTGTGAAAGAGGGAGCGAGTGACGGCTGGGATGATGAGACCCAGGGGACTGACAAAGCCGCTGATTAGGACATACAGAGCCAATCACATGTCAACGCACAATTTCAGAAACACACACACATTAGAGAATAAAACTCATGCAAATAGCCCAAATGTGCATATTGAACTAGAAGTCTACGTTGTCCCTCCCTCTACCACACTACCCTCCCTCACATATACAAACACTAAATCAATCAGCTGGCGTGCCTCCATCTATAAAATGCCAGGGACTTTGCGAGTGTGACTCTATGATGATTAATTCCCTTACAGCTCGTGTCATACATCACAGCAGCAGAGCAGTGAGCTGAGCAGTGGGGATGATGAGACATGAAACCATCAGGACACCTCACCACTAATCCTCCCCTCATTCCCTTATACCCACTCCCTTTCTTTTTCTTTTTCACAGAGTCGAGGGTCACTTTGGCTTCAAGGAGCTCGGACAAGCTTACAATCCTTCGTCTCGGTAAACGAAACTGGCAGAATATGAACCGAATGAATGAGAGAAATGAAATGCACAGACTGCATAATCACACTAGCGTGCACAGAAGCCCCACAGGAGGCTGGCTGCAGTCTGCCCGGCCTGTAGGCTCATCTCTCCACAGTTCACTTGACTGAATCAAACAAAGATTGTGGGGTGTGTGTGTGTGTGGAGGGGGGGTATGACCTGTGGTTAAGCAGGCTGCTTCATAATGGATGAACGCAGTCATTTGAGCACAGCAGATCAGTATGCATGAGTGGCCATTCATTACAACATCTCATTAAAGAGACTTTTAAAAAGTACATGAGTGTGATCCTGACATGAGCTTCACAGGAGGATGTTAACTGACTATGACAGAAAAGCTACTATTAAAATATGACACGTATGTGACACGAATGATGAAAAATATATATGTTTGAGTGTAGTGGAGCTACTATGTTCAACACCAGAGGCACGCTGCGAGTCTCCAGCAGGACAGATGGAGAAATAACTGATTTTTGTTGTAAACTTTATGAAGGTTTATCTTAAAGAACGACAGTAATGAGAACTAGAACAAGGATAATTAAATCAGCTGACTGACAGGAAGTGAAAGGCAACTTTTACACAATGTAACACAGTTTAACACAGTTTTTGTTCTTCTGATTGCCTTAAAATGCAAAGTTTAAAAAGAATATTATTTCCACAACCTTTGATGAATAAAAAATCAGAGGTTGAGGAACAAGATTTTTGTTACAGTGTTGCTCATTTTGTTAACATAATTGCCCAACACAGAGAAGATTCTCAGTTTGGGACTAGTAGGAGACACAAATCCAGCCTCAAGGCATTACAAGCCAGTGCACTCTTAGTGCTGGTCCCAAGCTGGGATAAATGGGTAAGTTACATCAGGAAGGGCATCCAGAGTAAAATCTGTGCCAGATCAAACATGTGGATCCATCCATTGTGGAAGGGCCTACCAACAACATGTTTTTTTTTCATTCATTGTCTCTGCTAGAGTAGCTGTGCATGATTCACAATTCAAAATAAACATCAGTTCCTTGTACCCCTCAGTTCATCCTCTGTCTGAAACAAGCTGCAGGAGAACGTTTGAATAGCAAGAGGGTGGGGCTTCTCCAATCCCAACATGCCCATATTAGGGATGTCCCCATTCTTTGATATTATACAGAGCCAGGAGCAGAAAAAACTGTCTGTAAGCCAGTATCTAGAGCACTCTGAAGCTCGATTGTTTGGCTCACACAGATTACTTTCAGCCAAGGCTGACTTCATTGATTGAAACTTCAACCATGTTTAATATAAGGCCCACCAATAATAAGTTAAAGTGCAACAATTCATCTATAATGGCTAAAAAAAAAACCCAACAACTTTATTTACAGGTTAATGATGAGTGCTGGGTTTATGAAACACATGTGTTAACTTTTCACTTTTAGTGATAAACATTTGCAGTGGAAAAGTATAGCTACTGTATTCGGCTTCAATGAGAGTCTGACCAAAAAGTAAAAATAAAGTCTGTTTGAACGTAGTAATCATGTATGACTGTGTTTCTACAACTGGAAGAGGATGGATTTAACACAAAAATCGGATTCCAGCCCAGACCAGCTCACCTGCAGCCTCCGCCGCCGTATTATCCCCGAGTCATCCATGGTGCAGTGACGAGCCGTGTGGCTCTCGGTCAGGATTCCCCTTCACTAAAACAATTCTGTCACCTTACACTAATCTGGGTTGTGACCCAGTGAGGATGCTACTTCCACTTCACGCCCGAACTGCACAACACCAACACAACAACAGCAGCAGCAACAGAGTTCCTGTGTGTCCGGTGTCACGTCGAAGAAGCCCACGAAAACGTGCCAAGAGGTCCCATTGTTTTTTTTTTTTTTTTAAAAAAGCCCCTTAAAATCAGCGACCGTTATTCTCTAAGCTGCACTTGTGATCGGCGTCCTCTGTCTCCTCGGCTGAGTATCACGCCGCTCTCTCCGCGGCTCCTTCTGGGAGCATCCTTGACATTTTCCCAGTGGTCCGTGCGCTTTGATGCTGCCCAGCTGAGCGACTCGAAGGCCCGGAGAACTCAACGTCCATGTGCGATCAGCCGATCCAAACACTGAAGTACTTCGGTCACTTCACGACAATCTCCACGAAGAAAACGTGAGCTCGTCTCCACGTGTGGCCACAAAGGACGGCGCGTTCAAGGCTCGGCGAGGGGGGAAAACAAACACTCGATTATTTTACACATAACTACACGATGGTACGGACGCGCGTCGTGCCCCAGCCCCTCGGTCAGGGTGTCACTGCCGCTTATTCGCGGCGGAGGAGCCTGTCCGGTTCGGTCAACATCACCTCGTGTCTGAGAGCGCGCGCACGTCCCCTCCAAAAAAACAAAACACACACATTAAGTAAAACTCGTGTTCGTTTCTTTCACCCACCCGTCGTTCCTCCACCCTCTCTCTTCTCGGGTGAAGCGGTTACTTATGGCACCGCAGCAACGCGATATTTGTAGCCCCTTCTTGGGATTCCCTTTCGCCCCTCCTCCTCCTACGCGCGACAGAGACGCTCTTCTCTCCGGGGTGAATGGAGGAATATCCAAACACTCTTCCACAGAATCCAGCCCAGCAGGCTACGACCACACACTGGCTGTAGTGGTGCCCTAATTGCTGTTTTGATTTAATTTCCTGAAAGACAGTTTTAGATTGGAGCTGGCAGTTTTTCAGCTGATGTGTGAAGAGGCCTGTTAGAGCCTAAATCAGCACCACAGACAGCGACACGGGATTAAAGTTTTTCTCTTTTGCTTTGGCACATTCATTTCTCATGTGAGAGCATTTTTAAAAGTTCGTTTCTTTGTTTTTTTTAAGACATTTAACGCTTACTTATGAATAAGTGAAGCATAAAAAGGGGTGAACCAGTTGTGTCGACACATAACAGACAACTTAGCAAAGAACCGGTTTTAAATGTTATCTCAAGGCACTTTGTTACAAGTAGTCTGTTTGAAAAAAAAAACCACACATATTCTGCTCAAATTCCTTTAGTTGAATCTATTTTTAAAAAAAATCTTAAAGATGGTAGATAAAGTTTAGTATTTTTGTACCAACAAGGTGATTCCCAAAAAGATCTCAGCAGGTGTGCAGTGTGTCCAACAAAAAACTAACACATTGGTTGGTCCATATTCACGGAAGCTTCAACAGAAATGGTCTCAGTGGAAGGCCGGCCAAGAAACTAATCTTAAAGAAGTGAAACAGGGAGAGAAGGCTGAGAAAAACTGGGGAGAAGTATTCCTGAAGACTGCTTGTCAAGAAAGAGTTCAGAGATCAGGCTATGTTGAAGTGTAAAGACATGAGGCTAAAGACTTTTGCACATTATTCTGTATCACAGTGTAATCAGAGCTGGATAATTTGACATCCCGACACTTTATTTAGCCACGATTTCTGATTGATCTCAGACCTAATGCTCTGCATTGCAGCTTTAAAGAGATAGAAAAGCCATATGTCTTGCACCCATCCTCTACCTTCTCCTGAAGTTCAGTATACTCTGCTGTCTGCTCCAAACATACTTACCGCTCCTACTCTTCCATGTGCAGGGTGTTCCTCCTGTAAAATGTTTGTCCAAGCCTCCATGTTCACTAATTGTTGTAATGGTTGCGTTCAGTTTCTATAAATGTGTTCTACAGTAGTAATAATAACACCTGTGGGCAGATTTCCCAACATGACATAATCAAAACAAGCCACGAACAACTCTACATGCATGTTGTTCGCAAAGACACACACAACCAATAATTTGCATACTCTTGGGCTTTTATTGAAATGTGCAAAAAACTATTTTAAAATACAAATGATGTCATCTGTCTTCTGATAGTTGATCTAAAGCAATGAATATAAACTCTTAGGCATTTCCGGTTGCACCACTCTGACCTTTCATCCACGCTGTGACACAGAAAACAGGATTATTGTGCATGGAGAATAAATGTACCAGCATCAGATATCAATAACTGTCAGAATGTATATCAAAATCTAAAAAAGGCATCATTTCTGGTTAATGCTGGTGTTATGGGAATAAAGATTTCCTTCCATTACCATCCTTCAGAGACAGACAGACTGGTGCCCCTTTTGGCAAAGTCATTGCGTAATGCTTTGCTGGAGATTAGGACTTTCACACAGTTTTTATGTAACATATGGTCCAAACTGCCCACACAAGCATGGTCTCATCCGTGCCAGACACAGCAGGATATCTGCTGCAAAGCATTGAAGCATCCAAACTCGGCTCACACTGGTCCATCCAAAAGGAAATGGCCAGGAAGGCTGTGGGGATGCTGTTGACAAGAACAGTCCATCTGCAGAGAATTCATATGCGAGATTCTCAGATAAACAAACAGGCCATCTGACTTCAATATTGGCTGATTTTTTTCTATTCTCAACAGGTAAACCAATATTTTACATTAAAAACAGCATACCTGTATTTATGGATATCCATCACTGTGGCCCAGCCCTGAATACTGTAAATGGATTCATGGTTTCCAGAAGAAGAGCCTTCTTGTAGCACCAACCCCCCCCTAAAAAACAAACAAACAGATTGCTGCAAATGCTTGAAATACATCCATGCCGCCCTCACTGGCAGAACTTTGGTGATCTCTTAGTTTTTCCTTTATAACCATAATCAGCTCAAATGTGTGTCCAAATCTAGAACACAGGGTACTAGCACTGTTGTACTGTCACATCTGTAGCTGTTATACACACACACACACACACACACACACACACA